TAACAAGGCTCTCACATCGTTTATGAAATAATATCTGTGGCATGATTGGGTGTTTGAAAGGCTGTTTGCGCTTCAGCAAAATCCTTAATTTTGGTTTTCCAAATAGCCACATTGTACGCTAAGGGCTCTACGTGACGAACAATTCAGAACGGCTGAGTCACCAATGGACCAAAGTTATTTCCTGACAGCAAGTAAAAAAATCCATCCCGTTCTTTTCAAATCTACGACACCATGTTTTTTTTCTGAAATAGCTAAACATTGCACATTTGCTGATTCTTTTGCAAAAATTTTTGGGCCCAACAGTTACAGTGAGGGAAAAAAGTATTTGATCCTCTGCTGATTTTGTATGTTTGCCCACTGACAAAGAAATGATCAGTCCATAATTTTAATGGTAGGTTTATTTGAACAGTGAGAGACAGAATAACAACAAAAATCCAGAAAAACGCATGTCAAAAATGTTATAAATTGATTTGCATTTTAATGAGGGAAATAAGTATTTGACCCCATTGCAAAACATGACTTAGTACTTGGTGGCAAAACCCTTGTTGGCAATCACAGAGGTCAGACGTTTCTTGTAGTTGGCCACCAGATTTGCACACATCTCAGGAGGGATTTTGTCCCACTCCGCAGATCTTCTCCAAGTCATTAAGGTTTCGAGGCTGACGTTTGGCAACTCGAACCTTCAGCTCCCTCCACAGATTTTCTATGGGATTAAGGTCTGGAGACTGGCTAGGCCACTCCAGGACCTTAATGTGCTTCTTCTTGAGCCACTCTTTTGTTGCCTTGGCCGTATGTTTTGGGTCATTGTCATGCTGGAATACCCATCCACGACCCATTTTCAATGCCCTGGCTGAGGGAAGGAGGTTCTCACCCAAGATTTGACGGTACATGGCCCCGTCCATCGTCCCTTTAATGCGGTGAAGTTGTCCTGTCCCCTTAGCAGAAAAACACCCCCAAAGCATGTTTCCACCTCTATGTTTGACGGTGGGGATGGTGTTCTTGGGGTCATAGGCAGCATTCCTCCTCCTCCAAACACGGCGAGTTAAGTTGATGCCAAAGAGCTCCATTTTGGTCTCATCTGACTACAACACTTTCACCCAGTTGTCCTCTGAATCATTCAGATGGTCATTGGCAAACTTCAGACGGGCATGTATACGTGCTTTCTTGAGCAGGGGGACCTTGCGGGTGCTACAGGATTTCATTCCTTCACGGCATAGTGTGTTAACAATTGTTTTATTGGTGACTATGGTCCCAGCTGCCTTGAGATCATTGACAAGATCCTCCCGTGTAGTTCTGGGATGATTCCTCACCGTTCTCATGATCATTGCAACTCCATGAGGTGAGATCTTGCATGGAGCCCCAGGCCGAGGGAGATTGACAGTTCTTCTGTTTCTTATATTTGCGAATAATCGCACCAACTGTTGTCACCTTCTCACCAAGCTGATTGACAATGGTCTTGTAGCCCATTCCAGCCTTGTGTAGGTCTACAATCTTGTCCCTGACATCCTTGGAGAGCTCTTTGGTCTTGGCCATGGTGGAGAGTTTGGAATCTGATTGATTGATTGCTTCTGTGGACAGGTGTCTTTTATACAGGTAACAAGCTGAGATTAGGAGCACTCCCTTTAAGAGTGTGCTCCTAATCTCAGCTCGTTACCTGTATAAAAGACACCTGGGAGCCAGAAATCTTTCTGATTGAGAGGGGGTCAAATACTTATTTCCCTCATTAAAATGCAAATCAATTTATAACATTTTTGACATGCGTTTTTCTGGATTTTTGTTGTTATTCTGTCTCTCACTGTTCAAATAAACCTACCATTAAAATTATAGACTGATCATTTCATTGTCAGTGGGCAAACGTACAAAATTAGCAGGGGATCAAATACTTTTTTCCCTCACTGTAACAATTAAAATACTCAGCAGTAATATTTATACAATCCGACCCAAAGAAAAAAAATCAATTATGAATCAGTATCCAGCAGCTTTGCTTAACCAAGCCACAATTTGCTAATTGAACACGTTTTCGTAAAAAATTACAGCAACTTTTGATATGACAATGTGGAGGTCTGAAATTCCGAACGATTAATATCACACCTTTTTCCTATACATTAAATCAATGCAGAGAGATGACAACTGTGAATGAGCATGTGGGACATTATCTGTGACTTTTTAAATACTTTATTTTATAACAGTAACGTTCTGTACTTTTTGTCACTCGAACTTCCAAGCCGAATTGCATATGGGCTATGTTTAAATCAGCATTGCTATATTCGTGATTGTCAGTCATCAACATAGCACGTGTACTTAAAAATACCAGCATTTTTTCAAAATACAATTACAGAAGTACAAACAATTGCACCTTTAAAGTCGTTTAATGATTTTTGTTGCTAGCTAATCTGTTTGATATCCACCAGAAGAATTCAGAACAGAGTCCTAATTATGCTTAATTTCACCGCATATAATTGGAAGATCAATGATAATCACAATACGCGCTTTGTTCATTTATCCACAACATTGGAGAGAGGCAAGATGAAATGAGTTGTGGAAATTGATAGGGTTTCAGGAAATATACGAGTTCAGACAATTTAATTCACAGTTGATGGGATCTTCACACTGTGACTTCTGATTAAATTCAAAAGTGCAAAAATACATGCATTTATCAACAAGCATAGTCGATGCCAATCAGAATTAAATTTGCTGGTGCATTACGAGGGAAAAACAATTCTTACACACTGCAAAGACTCGTATACTCTACAGACAGGAGAATCACATACATAAATACCAGGTGTTAAACTCTAAGCATTCCATACAATTCTTTGGAATTGAATCGCCAATACAAGATCAGGACAATGTTGTCTCTGAAGGGTTACAGGTTTTCTTTTAAAATCAAACATTTAAAGTGAACCGGTACAAAATAGTTGCTTTATCTTTGCAACACAATTGCTTTTGTGATAACCTGAAGCAGTTTACAATGGTACAAAATTTACATCTAAAAATAATGTGAACACGATCGTAAAGAACCTGTATCTGAATTACAAGGCTTGTGTGATCAATTTTTTAAGTACTAAATGATAACCGATTAAGACGCAAACTCTCTCTCGCAAGGGTGACCCGAGTTAACAAGTTACAACCCATAGCAATATGCCCCAATTCACTGGTGGGTGAAAGCCTCTCCACCCTCCCTGATGCCATTCCTCATGTTCTTGTGGTCACAATCAATCTCACTCCCGTACACAGATAGATATCACGACTCCCATCTCCATGGTTGTCATCCTCTTCAGCTGCCACTATCAGCCTCGTACATGAGCCATCAACCCTTTTGGTGACATGTTCTGCCCCGGCCCACTTATTTAGGTAAGACATATATTTGTTTGTTCTCGGATCGAGTTTCTCTTTCTGTCTCAGGATAATTCCAAGCATGCACGCGAGTGATTTTTTCTGTTTTGGTTCCATTTCATCGATCAATGTTCATGTTTCTGATCCATGTCATAGTGGGCATTTTATCCCAATTGTAAAGTTTCTGATTTACGAAAAACGGATCGCTGCTTCTTGTTATTGAATTTAGTTTTAAAAGGGGCACTCCATCTCTCCTCCGTTCGCCTCCATTTCGTCACACCGATCCCAATCCGCATTCAATAATTTCCTTCAATCTGTTGCTTTCAGGATTCTCTCTCCAACAGTTTACTTCACTCAGGAGTCAACGTCACTCAGGATACTTCGTAAAGCCGATTGTAAACGCTGCAGCTTTCCTGCATGTAACCTTGTGGTTAACATGATTTGTAATATTCCGACGTTCAAAAATGCAACCCAGTTAATTACAAACATTAGTGAGTTACTGCAGCCATTACCCGCACACAGGTGGCAAAATACACAAGCAATGCCTCTGCAGCCTACAATTTGTAGTCAAAAATGCTTGGGAAATAATTTGGAAATGTGCAAATTAACTCAAGCCTTCATAGACATATTATTCCACTTTTATTATTGCATTTACAAAAGAAAATCCCACCATGACCCATGTGTAATCTTGACCAGCCAATCCCAGCACTAGCACATGGGCAAACGAGATGTTTCAAATCGTATTTTGAACAATGTTGTTTCAGACCCACCAAACAATATTATAGCTCAAGATAATCTGTACAACAGCGAAAAGCACTACTGGAAGCTGCATCATTGCACGAGAGTGGCATTGTTGTATTTACAATGGGGCACATTGTAGCGTACAAGACCTAGAAAGCTTGTACATCCCATGTTTGCCCTTCGCCCATAGAATTACTCTCCAATTGCGCCGTCAAGCGGTAAGACAAATATTTTCATTCTAAACTCAAAGTGAGAACCTCAATAGCCTCTTGTAATACAAGGTGGCATGTTTTTTATACATGCCTTGCAAACAGTGGTCGTCGCAATACAATTTTAATGAAAATGTTAGTCCTTAGTTTCAATATGCTGTTTTCTTGAGCAGTCATCGGTGATAGGACTGAGACGACCAACTTGCTACCCACAAAAACTCGGATTACTCACCGGTGGATGAAACCCAATGTTGCAAAATGTCAGGGTTGTTGGCTCATTGCTCTCACATAGCATTAACTCCAACAGCCACCTGCTCACCTGGACTTCAAAAACAATGGTGGACGTTTATGAATTGTATTAATAGGCGCTGTGGTGGTGAGATGTTATCTCCCTCGCCTGGGATGCAGGAGGTTGTGGGTTTGATCCGGACCCTGATGCCTGTATATTCGGAGTTTACGTTCTCCCCGTGGTCGATTGGATTTTTTTCTCCGGGTCCTCTGGTTTTTCCCTCTACATTTAGAAACATGTGTTTGGATTATATTTGGCAGCTATAAATTTCAACATAAGCCACTTATATTCTTAGTTCTTTCGGTAAAGTCACGTTGAAGGGAAACAACAAAATAATAAAATATATATAAAACAACAAAAATTCTCACGACGTTTCGACCATAACACAAACAACGTGACTTTACCGAAAGAACTAAGAATATGAATTACTGCAGTCACGAAAGCTTTAAATCAAAATATAAGCCACTTAGTTGAGCTATGATTTGTGGCCAGGTCACTTCTGAAAAAGAGCTAATTTCTCAGTGGGCTTTACCTGGTAAATACAAGTTTTATTTAATATTGTTTTAAATCCCCCCCCCCGCCTTTGTACGCCCAGCAGTGTAAATGGATACACCACAGTTAGTCAATCGGCAGGCTACGTGTGGTCAGGTAAAGTAGTCCCACCCCTTTCAAGATATCTTGTCAGCATGGGACAGTATGCAATATACAGCGAGACTGTACACTCTAGTGGGAAGTCCTTCCGCCAGCAGTGGAGTGAGCAAGCAATTGCACACAGCTGCACAAATTGACCTAATAAGTGTGTTTTACAAGTTTAGAAAAATTAAGGAGCAGGTGATTGTCTCAAAGGGGTAGTAGGATGAGGCCTAGGAGAGTGCTACAATGCAAAAGATGGCAGGGAAGCGGCACCGCACGACCTCCTGAGCCGCCCCCAGCCAATGGGCCACCAGACGCAAGGGAGATGGAAGACACCGCCTGTTGAGCTCGTTATCCCACGGCCTAGGTGAATCTATACGTGCGAACTGTCAAGGCACTTACATAGGAGCAAAGGTAATTAGCACAATGTTTGCGTCGCACCTTAAAAAAAACATTCAAGGGCAGTAAATCCCTTGCCCGAGTTTTTCCCATGTTCAACAGAATTGAATTTTATGTTCAAAATTGGTTATATTCATAGATTGACTTGCAATTTAGAATATAAAATTATAATGGCTGCATTAAATAATTTAAATAAAATGAAATGCATTACCAAGTAAATATGACATCCGATTCATAGAATTAAATAAATGAAACCTTTAAGTTCCAAATGAAACATTAACACTCTGGACCTACACAAAATGTAGCAAGTATAACAATGTTCATGAGAGTACTTACACCAAGATGGATTTATCCACAAGATTAATATATACCTATCTAGTCACATCATATTTTTAACTTTTATAATAAGCAATAATTTTATCTTATAGTTCAAGTTCTGCAAGTAATCCATGAGTGAAAGACTAACTAAAATAAATTATCAGTATAATCCTTATGTTGTTCATTGGCAAATTAAAACGATATTTCCAGTTTAATTTAGTTTAGCTAAAGATGGGGAAATTTAGCCAAGACTCAGCTTAATCACTTTGACTGCAGGTAACATTTTCTGGTCTGTTAATTAAAATACGACAAACAGCTTTTCCTGGCAGCAATTTTAATAACCTGGATATGTAGTATTCACTACAATACAGCTCTCCAAATATTTAAATATAAGCATACTTGGGGAAAAAAATCACTGGCTACTCTGTTATCACCAGACAAAAGGCAACAGGGAGGCATAACACGAGGTGGGGCGGGGAATAAACTGCATCTCACATACAACGGGTCTTTTTTGGAGAATCCTAAAAATTAATACACTGAAAATCGTTCCCCAGAAGCTAAACATTTGAAGGGCGCGCACAACAACGCTGCGCAGAAACTTCACGTGGTCTCAGTTTATCACCGAGTTGTACAATAACCACTGAAGCATTCAAATGCGTATTTCAGAATTGGCTTCTTATTTCCAGTGGTGCATTTTTGTTACCTCTCATGTTGCTTTTAATATTTATAACATACTAGTATCTACCGACTCTACAGTAGCATCTGCCGACTCTATAGTAGTATCTACCGACTCTACAGTAGCATCTGCCGACTCTATAGTAGTATCTACCGACTCTACAGTAGCATCTGCCGACTCTATAGTAGTATCTACCGACTCTACAGTAGTATCTACTGACCCTACAGTGGCATCTACTGACTCTATAGTAGTATCTACCGACTCTACAGTAGCATCTGCCGACTCTATAGTAGTATCTACCGACTCTACAGTAGCATTTGCCGACTCTATAGTAGTATCTACCGACTTTACAGTAGTATCTACTGACCCTACAGTGGCATCTACCGACTCTACAGTAGTATCTACCGACTCTACAGTAGTATCTACCGACTCTACAGTAGTATCTACCGACTCTACAGTAGTATCTACCGACTCTACAGTAGTATCTACCGACTCTACAGTAGCATCTACTGACTCTACAGTAGCATCTACCGACTCTACAGTAGCATCTACTGACTCTACAGTGGAATCTACTGACTCTACAGTAGTATCTACTGACTCTACAGTAGTATCTACTGACTCTACAGTAGTATCTACTGACTCTACAGTAGCATCTACTGACTCTACAGTAGTATCTACTGACTCTACAGTAGCATCTACTGACTCTACAGTAGCATCTACTGACTCTACAGTAGCATCTACTGACTCTACAGTGGCATCTACTGACTCTACAGTAGCATCTACCGACTCTACAGTAGTATCTACCGACTCTACAGTAACATCTACTGACTCTACAGTAGCATCTACCGACTCTACAGTAGTATCTACTGACTCTACAGTGGCATCTACTGACTCTACAGTAGTATCTACCGACTCTACAGTAGTATCTACCGACTCTACAGTAGTATCTACCGACTCTACAGTAGCATCTACTGACTCTACAGTAGCATCTACTGACTCTACAGTATCTACTGACTCTACAGTAGCATCTACTGACTCTACAGTAGCATCTACTGACTCCACAGTAGCATCTACCGACTCTACAGTAGCATCTACTGACTCTACAGTAGCATCTACTGACTCTACAGTAGTATCTACTGACTCTACAGTGGCATCTACTGACTCTACAGTAGTATCTACTCACTCTACAGTGGCATCTACTGACTCTACAGTAGTATCTACTGACTCTACAGTGGCATCTACCGACTCTACAGTAGCATCTACTGACTCTACAGTAGTATCTACTGACTCTACAGTAGTATCTGACTCTACAGTGGCATCTACCGACTCTACAGTAGTATCTACTGACTCTACAGTAGTATCTACTGACTCTACAGTAGTATCTACTGACTCTACAGTAGCATCTACTGACTCTACAGTAGTATCTACTGACTCTACAGTAGTATCTACTGACTCTACAGTAGTATCTACTGACTCTACAGTAGCATCTACTGACTCTATAGTAGTAACTGCACACATTGCAGTGGGGGGGGATGAGGACATCACGTTGTTCAGGATTTACTTCGGTGCTGTGCTTTCTTTTTGCCTTTTTAGCGCGAAGAAGAACCTCCTTAACGATCGTGTGCGTTGCTAGGGGCAAACGCGAGTCAGCATTTCCCCGTTTGCCAAGATGCGTGCTTTGGTGCCGCGATCAGCGTAAATTATTATAAAGTGTGATTTTATTCGTTTACATTTGACGAGGGCAAAAACAAATAGCGAGTTTTCGTTTGGGGCTTAGTTTGTTGTAACTGTGTACTTTGTTGAAACGTAAACCCAACAGTTTGTCAGTTAAAAGCGATACACACGTCCACACACACACAGACAAAAAATACTTTTATAGGTAAGATAAAAAGCTAAACAAATAAGTTGCCAATGGGATAAATTTGTCCTACATGGAAATAATGTTTGTTGTTATTAAGAAATCTGCTATACAGGGGCAAATGGCGACTTGCAGTAACATGCGCATAAATCGGCAGTGATTCAATAATTCCTTGCAGCTGATAGTGTTGTCGTCTCTCAGTAACATTCACGTGTGTATGACAGTTGTCTCAAAGCACTGAGTGTTTGTGCAAGCACTGACAGAAGATGGGGAAAACTGCATAAAGATTGCACGAAATTTAATTAATATTTTAAGCTTCTCTATTCATACGGTTAACCCACCGTTGCCATTTGTTAGAATCAAGCAAATATGACAGTCGAGTCGTAAATATTTTGATATTTAACTCTGTTTATACCGCACATTTAGTATACAATAATCAAGGCTCCTTTGCGACAACAAAACATTTTCTACACAAGCACCGTTTTCATTGCAAAGGATATGACTCATAGTCGAGGGTCTGTGTCAATGCCCCGGTCAGGACAAATTCCGCATTGTGCACTTCTGTCGAAAGAGGGAGGTGGGGGGGGTACAGAGGCAGGGAATAGACGAGCAGAAATAGCATATTAATTACAACTGCCCTGACGTGCAAATACAAGAGCAATTAATTCATTTCAGCTTACATAATCCACGAGGTGTATTTGAACATTGCTCTATGACATTTAATTTTGACGATCAAAGTGAAATATATTAAACAATGCACGAGCTCATTGCAAGCCCCAAACACATAGCAGGATTATTTTTTTACCCCAGAAAAATTTACAAAATGTCAGATTTACACATGGGAGACAGATCATCATAGAATAGACCTATATGTCATTGGCTGGGTAAATTACCTGATGTATTTACATTAGACAGGTTTATATCTGGTAAACCAAAATTCGAAGTTCGTGTTTTTGTCAAATGTAAACAAAGTAACAATTGCAACATACGATTGATTGCTGATTGTTTTATTTTATTTCTAACTACGTGACTTTATCGAAAGAACCAAAGATTATGGATTCCTGCAGTCACGAAAGCTTCAAATCAAGATTGCAACATATGACTTCATAATACAGGTTTTTTGGGTTCGATCGTGTAAATATATAAATGTGTCGTTAAACCCATCACCACCAACACAGCCAGTAAGTCTTCTTTGGTTCTTTCGGTAAAGTCACGCAGAATGAGAATAAAATAATAAATTGATAAAATAAAATAACACAATAATATTCTCACGACGTTTCAGCCACAACACAAGCGGCCTTCATCAGGTGAAGGGACGAGACTGTCTGGTAGGACAGCGCTGGAGTGAAAAAGCCACGTTCAGATCACGACCTTTAAGCTGTGTAAGAGGAAACAAAGCACCTTGACAAATGAATTAGCATATAGTTTAGCATTGAAATGGCTGAGTGATTAGCTTGTGACTGGTCACAGAAATGGCTATGTTAAAAGTTAAAGCATATACATCCTCAGAGGCACCCCTTGACAAAGGAATTAGCATAGAATTTAGCATTGAAATAGCTAAGTTAAAGCATACACATCCGCAGAGGCACCCCTTGACAAAGGAATTAGCATAGAATTTAGCATTGAAATAGCTGAGTGATTAGCTTGTAACTGGTCACAGAAATAGCTATGTTAAAGTCAGAGCATACACGTTCACCGAGGCACGTAGTACAAATCAAACAGGAGAATTTAGCATTGAAATAACTAGGCGAATTTAGCATTGAAATAACCAGTCACAAGCTAATCACTCAGCCATTTCAATGCTAAACTATATGCTAATTCCCTTGTCAAGGCACTTTGTTTCCTTACGAAAGCTTTAAATCTAGCTTTGTTTCCTCTCACACAGCTTAAAGGTCGTGATCTGAACGTGGCTTTTTCACTCCAGCGCTGTCCTACCAGAGAGTCTCGTCCCTTCACCTGATGAAGGCCGCTTGTGTTGTGGCCGAAACGTCGTGAGAATATTTTTGTGTTATTTTATTTTATTAATTTATTATTTTATTCTCATTCTACGTGACTTTACCGAAAGAACCAAAGAAGATGAATCATTGCAGTCACGAAAGCTTTAAATCGAAATTTACAGCCAGTAAGGTTTGTCACGTAAACAGAACAAGCCAATTCGTTACTAGTATAGCAGCAAAGCCACAACATTTATAATCTGAATACATTTCGGCAGTAATTACAACTAGCTTCATGCGACAGCCAAATTTGTGGAGAAGTCCTCCTGTTATGACTCATAGGATCCCGACCCAGGCGCCTGTATATTCGGAGTTTGCATGTTCTCCCCGTGGTCGATTGGATTTTTTTCTCCGTGTCCTCCAGTTTTTCCCTCCACATTTAGAGACATGGGTTTAGATTATTTAGATTATTTCCTTTAATAAATTTCCACATGATAAGCCACTTCGTTGAGCTATAATTTTTGGCCAGGTCGCTTCTGCCAACGAAGCTAACAGCTCAGTGGGCTTTACCTGGTAAGACAAAAATTGTTTAGTTTTATTTGTATACATTTTAAAGTGATTTATTTACATGTCCTATACTCTGTACTTCTATCGTGTTTTTGTATTGTTTGTTGTTGTAAAATTCTGACCTACCCCGACTGGACATCTGTGAAAAAGACCTTTATTGCTCATCGGATTCCTCGAGTATAAATAAATATTCTGAGTCCGATTCTGATCTCAATAAAAAATATATCCGAATTAGCTACTTAGAATATTTTGCTGAGCTCAAATCCAGGATCGTGATTTATTGTCTATTATCCAAGTGATGTTCGGTAAAAAAAAATGACTTTATTGGAAGTCCACAACGGTCACCCGATGAATAAACTGCCCCCCACCACGGGAACGATGAACTTACAAAACTCGCTCGGGGTTACCGCGTGCAAAGAGTGAGGTCCCCTCTTTTTGTTAAGAGCAGGAACATTAAATTGGACAAAAAGCTCTCTACACAAGCTGTCATTCTTTCCAATCCCTTGCAGTTGCAAAGCTAATTCCTTGTTTTCATCGCCCTGATTTGGTATTCACGCATGCTCCAGCTCCCAAATGCTATTCTCCCTATATAAGCAATAATCTATGCTCACAACTACTTTCCTTAGCTTATAGCTCTTATTTTGTCTGACGGATTGCATTCTACGCATTATGGCCTCTGCTTCGCATCTGTCATCAAATACATCATGCCAGAGTCCAATTGTGTTTTATAACACCAGAGTGATTTTCCTGTTGTGAATTACCACATATGCTTCATTCCATATAGTTTCATGTCTTTCATGGAGGTACCAGGTTTCACTTTCCACACAACTTTGCATAGTTTAGAGCAATTGTGAAAGTAATGTTTCTACTCCAATGTTGAATGCACTGCTGAAGTATTCTCTACATGGACAATAATTACGATCTCCACCCTGTTGTCGATATTCACTCCATCAGTTTGGCCTTAAGCCACATATGCAGATTGTGTAGACCATTTAAGTTTAAGGGTCTACATTTACAGTTTTTTCTTCATTTGGCTGATGCTGATGTCGAGCAACAACTATAATTCTACATTGAGGTGGTTGAGCTAGATAAATGCATTAGTAGTGGTGTACAACCACTGAAAGATGGAGAACTGCCTAAAATATTGTTCTACAAATAATTTGTTTCTGTTCTAAGGCAGTGGCAATTGAGCGGATTGAGGGTTTTTAAATTCCACCCCCCCACGAATTGTACAATACTGCTATTTCTTCAAGTGTTATTGTAAATGTTTCATTTGGGTTGTAATTTTGTCCAAATGTTTACTACATCTTTAGATGCCTTCAAGCTTGAGTAGCATTTCCTTTTAGCTCGTCGTTGATATGCTGTTATCATTAAACAATTTTATTCCATTTATATTTCTTCGCTTAATATTTTACCAACGCTGTGCTGTAAACAATTTGGGGATAATTTGTCTCGTCACATACCTCACTCAGTGAGTATGTTTTCGTTTATTTACAAGTGTGTTGCATGTATATTTTTAATGTGTACTTGGTACTGTGTCAATGTATATTTTAATGGCCCCTTGTTGATGGCAGCCTACATTCTCAACGTACTTCAGTGTGGGAGTAAGAGGCTTTTCACTGTTGAAACAGTTATATTACAGAAAAGTATTTAATATTAGTCATACATGTCAGTAACAAAAAGGTAGCAAATAAATAATATAAAATACAGCACTATAAATGCATATATATCCTTCAAAAATGCAGGGCCGAAAGTTAGAAATAATTACCATACGAGACAAGAAAAGTAATAGACAGGGGTGCAGCAGCAAGTGTGAACATGATATAAATTATTGTTATTCCTATGCTAGTTTACCCAGGACAGCATCACTGAGTACCATGACCATCAGGAAGGTCTTGCCAAGTGTTTGCAGAAGGGGGCGACGATTGCTATGTATAATCCTAAATTAGTATTTTGCCCGCATCCAACAGCCTGCTGGTGCGGATAACGTTACGGTTAATGCCCACCGCAGGATTAACCAGGGCTGCCGCTGGACTTGAATCGTGAACTACTGCAAAAAGCAACGAACGCGCTACCGTTAGGCCACGTCACCACCCCAAGTATCACATTATTTGCAGGCTTGCTGGAAGGCATGTATGGATTTTGACAAAAACATGAGAAAAAGCTTACTAATAAAACATTGGATGGTTACAATGTGCTGCTTCTGATGGAACAAACGCTGGCACTGTTATTTCAATGCCAAGGAACATCACGATTTGTACTATCAACATTTCAACAAATGTGTTGCCAGGGTAGTGGAATTGACAATTCATGAATAGATCTGATTTTTATTTTTATCACACAGGAGTATGCTTAAACTTAGGGCCTCTTTCTTTGTCAAATCATGAAGGGCACTGTTTTTATTTTGAAAAATAGGTGCAGTGGCAAAATGAATTATTGTTGTCCCATTTTGTTAGATATTGCTCAATAATATCCATTTTACTCAAGGTCACTTCATTCCAAAAGAATCAGGTGGCTGCCTCAGGGAGGGGGGGGGGTGGGAGGTTCGAGTCATCCCTGTGAATGGGATACCTTGTCCATCCAAAGTGGGGAAAATTTTATATTAAGGACCTACACAATTCCTCCTTGAGAATCCACAAAATTAACATTCAAAGTAGCAACAGCATACTGAGGACTCAATGCGGCTTTACTGCATAAATGGCATGATTATTTTACACGCAATAAAAAAGAATGGGTTGAAACAGCTTTAATGACATCAGATTAAAAAAGCAACATATACAAGCCATAGTTTTGGGCAATGCTCAATAAGCTAACGCTTCATCAATCACTGAGCTAATATTTTCCCCCGGTTTACTTAATGACAATGGTTGTGACAAGAATTTTGGCCTCACCCAAAACAAATATGGATCACAGTATTTGGTATGAAAACCTATGTTTAAGTTAACTTAATTCTACTTTAACGTTCTATAAAAACATGCAGTGAAATGTGACATTCACCACTGTATACAAGAGTTACATGTTGTATGAGAGTGTAAGGTTTCTGCAATGAAAGTTGCATTCAATATTGACTGTTAATATTTACTGTCAATATTGAATGATTAAACCCATATACAAAGAGTTTCCCTTTGTAAATGAGATGCACGCATTATTTGGATTTCCCTGTAGATAGCGCAACTTTAGCGAGTGTAAATTAACTCTAAGACAGATTTTCCTATCATGCAGGCAATGCACATTTAATTGAAAACAATTTCCTTTTCATGGAACAAGTCTGACTATATACATGCCATCCACAGATAGCATATTTCCATTCAATTTCAAATAAATATATTTTTTTATTAACGAACTGGAGGAAGATAATCTTGCTCCCCAATCCATTTTGTACTACATTATTACATAGATCAGTTAGGAGATCAATAATGGGGCAATTAATCACAGTAGGTAAAGCACAATATATATCTGCCTCTGTACTGGTCATTAATGTCAGCAAACAGGACATTAATCCTGAGAGATTTCCATAAGCTTTTTTCACAATCTCTCATATGCTCAATTACAAAAATGTAACCACCACCTCCCGTTGACTGACAAACCACATTCAGTGGACCCAATTCCAAGGGATAAAAATAGTCCTTGCAAACAAATGTGTTGGCATATGAATTGGAACACTCATGAAACGAGTCCATTATTTTCAAAGAGATTCCGAACAACCTTTGATTTAAAAGAGTTCATAACAAAAAAACTTTTTTTGAGACAACATATATCACCTTATCGTTACATCTATATAAATACAAATTAGTCGTTTTGTGCATTTGTGCGTGAGTGTGTGCGTGTGTCACACGGTACTCGCCTCCAAAATGTAACGCTGTTTCTTTCCGGCTTTTTGGTTGGACAAACTCAATTTTAAGTCGGGGATTGGCAGAAAGTGCCTGTTTTCTACACCGTGGTTTTTTGGAGCCCAGCGATTAGTCCATGTACAATTTTATTCGACATGTCTCCATTTTATCATGTACTGAATCTGTACCGTGTTGTAGGAAAGGGTGTATGAGTATGCTTTGTTGCAGAACATTAATGTGACTTTTCTTTGACGACAGACACTTTCTATTTTCTCAAAATATCCTCACCATTTACTGTATACAGCTCAGATATAGCACATGGTAAGGGTAAGTAACCACATTACACACGTGTACTATTTCTGAGCTGTACAGTAGATAGTGTGATGTGTAATGTTATGTGGGGCAATTATGCTCTTAGAATTCTGGACTTCATCCACTTAACTGCACGTAGTGGCCATTGTCCACGAAGACGCCGGCTAAGTGTTTAAGACTCGGGAAAAATCAAACTTTAAAGCGTAACTACAGTACATAGTGTTAGGTGTTATGTTGTTGACTCAGCAAAATAGATCACACAGGGTTAGTGTACAGCTGCGGCGACATGGTACGTGCGATAGTAGAACGGTGCGTATGACACAAACTGAAAATATTGGACATTGCAGATTGGCCTGAAATTTGACCAAATAATTTTACTTAATTTTCCATATCACAGCGAAGCAAGTACATGAGTACACTCAATTTCTATTGGGATTGCGAATTCATTGTTCATATATATTAATATTAAATATGAACTGTTTATAAATATAATATGCAACCGTCCGTGACAGTTTTTGATGTCTGTATATATGCATATTCCGTGTTGAATGGGGGATCAGGCCTCGTTCTTCAACCACCAATGGTGCTCAGGGTATGGGTTTTATAGTTCCCGTACCCTGCTGTGCTGGGCGATGGCAACCCCCAAGGTGTGCTCAGTATGGCCTGGAGTATTTCACTTTTCCAAGGCCCCCGCCACGTTTTCTGTGTGCTGTATATGCTTGGTTATTATGTTTTTAAATTATTGTTATGTTTTATTGGTTTGTTTTATTGTAGGTTTTGTTATATATATGTGGAATGTTGTGTGCAGACCGGGGATGTGTGCGAGCTTGCGTGTCAGACCACAAAACCCGGTTTGGGCCTTGCGGAAACCCCATTCGGGAAAGGTAGAGAGTAGTGGGGGGGGGTTCAGCCTCCTGCCTCTATAAACCTCAGTCACCTCGTCTATGAACCAGTCCTACGGAGGACAAGACTACAACATATCAGGCCTGGAAGAAGGATATACTCGCCCGTGATTCCTGACTGTCATATAACAGTTACACCGCAGAGAAACATCTCTTAGGAATCCAGGATATCTGATATGCCGTATTAATACTAAGGGCCATCGCCTCTGTCTGGGACCGTGTGCAGACAGGGTTCTCATTCAAATGAAGATTGCACTCGACCTATCCAGCTCACCTCCAGCCCGTATAAATTAGCTCTGTTGTTTATGTTAGAATTTGTGTATTCTTTTATAGTGTGGTGTTACTGCATACTTAGACGTTCTTCTGTCTAACGTTTTGTTTTGAATATATATTTGAACATATATGGGTCTGTGAAACGGGCCCCCCCAGCTAGTAAATATATATTTCTGCTCTTAATGCGCACTTACCAATGCCACGGACCAAATATTCACGACACAGGTGTAGGTCATTTTCACAGGATATGATGATGATATCTGGCAAGTTCTGGCAGAGAAACAAAGACAAAATAAGAGTTACATTTTAAGACAAATACACAATTCACTTACATAGTTTGTCATTCAAAGCAAGGTCAAAGTAGATCTATGCAACTAGAATGGGGAAGGCATACATCTCAGCTGGGGGAAATGTCTCCAAAACATGACCATGGTTGACGCCCCACAAACTGTACATATTTTATTGAAACTGTGAGGAATAAAAAAACTGAGTCGACCCTCAGCCAGGATTTGCGCTTGTGACATAGTGTAGTTATCGACTTCCGAGACACGTCGAGTAGAAGGCTTTTTGTTTATTAAGAGCACACGGGGTGATACATTACGTAATGCAGCTACACATAGGCGATCCTAACACACAGCCCATCTCCGGCATACGCTACGCTAGCTGTCCGACTAGCGCAGCGATGGCGACGGAGAGGGTCTTGCAGAAGATCAGCCATGTGGTTGGAGACGAAGAGATGACGACGTGCAGCGACGCAGCCAGGGCCCGCAACAGCACCCGAACCTCTGGTTCGGCCCCCCTTATATGCCCTCCGGCGCGGCCAAGCTCCGCCTCTGGCCACGCCCCCTTCCAGAACCTTCGAGCAGGTTCCCGGAGCCTCTGGACTAACTCCGCCTTTCACCTTTACTCCAGATACGCCCCCCTTATAATAAGGCATTACGTAATACCCCCATAACCACAAATACCCCTTCAGGCGGACAGGTGTCACCCTGTCATTACATAAGTAGAGAAATACACTAATACCCACTGTAATCATACAGGTAGGAACAACAGGTTCCACACTGCACACCAGGGATTATTTGTCTGTCTGTCTGTCGTGCATATCCGGAATTCCATCCGCATCCACCCCCTGTCTCGGTCGAACACGTCGTCTTCGTTCCGGGGTACGGAAGGCTGTTCCCGAACGACTTCCGCTGCTTACTACCTGGCCAGTGGTTGAACGACACCATCATCAACCTGTTCGGGCAGTTTTACTGCCTGCCGCGAGCGGCAGACGTCCACCTGTTCAACGCGTTCCTGTGCACGGAGTTCTTGGCGGGCCATTTTGACGACTTGAATCGCGTCTTCGATGGCGTGTCCTCGAGCAGCCGCACTGGCAGATCTTGGTCATCGTCAACGCCACGTCCCCACCAAGGTCGACTGCCATGCTGTTAAGACTCAATGGCCGCGCGGGGCAGTCGCGCAACGCCAAGAGCATCGCGGCCTTCGCCAGCGCGGTGGTGGCCCGGGTCGTGCGCGCCAAACTGGCGAGCACGACGGTGGCGATCGCCACGGTGCTTGTGGGCCGCAGCAACCGAACGGCTTCGACTGCGGTGTCTACGCCCTGTTCAACATCGTGCACCCGGTGCGCGATCACGACGGCATTGTGGCCGTTCAAGGACCAGGTCAGGTGGATTGGCGCGCGTGGTACACGCAGGAGGCGGCGTCACAGCACAGGTGTAGCGACCTGCTGCTGCAGCAGCTGCATGAACTTAAAGACCAACATCAGCAATAAATAAAGAATCATCATCAGATGCAATAGTAACAGCTACAACCTCCAACACGACTACGGTATCCAACACGGATCGCACAAATGCGCTGTCCAACCAAGTTCCTACCTGCCCACTCCGAAGGAACGTGTTATATTTCAACCCATTATTCTCTCGTACAGTACAATGTTGCATATCCACAGCTCATTAAGGACTAAGGTATTGGCTGATGTCGCCAAACTTCCCAGCGTAAGAAAAATGTAGAAATGCATGGAATATGTAAGGCACCCGTGACAGAATGTTTTAAGGTTGTGTAAAAACGTGAGCACGATGCTTATACCAGGATATTTTAACATTCTCTCAATGGGAATTTATTTGGGGCTATAAAAATTGTCAATGATAGCTGCTGGTAAATGCAAGAAATGGGAAAAATAATGACATTCATTTCACTGTATATAAAGTGTACTTGCAAAACCACGTGCATGCTTCTGCTTCTACATATATCAATAAACCTTAATAAGTGTGGACTCAATGCAACCAGACTGACTGTGGATATATTATAGGCCAATAAAAATTGCTTGAAGACGAAGTCCTTTCAAGCGTTCAAATTACATTGCGAGAAGGCAATGTACTATTTACAGTGGTGGTGGCATGCCTTAATCCAGGAGGGTGGAGGTGAGGGTTGGTGGATCGCACAAATGTTGGGAAACTTCCTTGCCATTGGCGTCGAGGTGCCATACCCTGGCTTGCCAGTATGGCAATACAGCAGGTGGACTAATCGCCATCCGTTTCCATCTGTATGGGGATATATTACCCTCTCGCACTTGCAGGTTTTCTTCAGGTGCTCTGGCTTCCTCTCACTTGAATAAACACCCATCAATTGGCTGGTAACATCTTTTATTTGTTTAGGACCCTCCTAAAAAACAGAATCCTACGGACTCAGTGTGACTTTCCTGCATAAATAAGTAAACTATCGTCATTATTATGCAGTCATTGATGACCAGGCATGAGACCAACCACTCTCTCCCCATGGACTGGAACCCAGAATCCCGGAGATGCTGGCTCAGTGCTGTGACCGGGAGTGCCGCCCCCATCCCCACCCCTCACCTTGTTATTGCGGTGCTCAGCGAGGCGCTGCAAGCCTGGCTGCTTCGTTAGCACTCGCCCCCCCGCACACTCAATGATGGAGCGCATGGTGGCCAGGCTTGGGCACATTCCGGGCGTCAGGTAGAAGAAGAGACCCTGCGTCACAAGGACACATAGCAGCAAAAGTGGTCCATTTAACAGTTTGAAGTTCATGACAATAAGTTGGCACTCTTACCTAAAACAAAAAAAAGAGTAATCGTGACATTTATTGATTTAAGTTTTAAAAGACACCGTCATGTCTTTCACTGTTGGGCATTTTGAAAGTAGGGCATGATTACTTGACCCGGTTGATAATTGATGTCCTCGTATAAAAAATATCGTGACAATTTAACCTCAGACTTAATTACAGTATACAGTAATCTGTAGGTTCGATAGTATTATTTATAGTGACCTCACATTAACCCAAGTCACGAACAATGTCATTTTCCTGTATTACGTATTTAAAAACTAAAACCTTTAAAATGTTGATAAAATAGCAATATAAAGCACAGAGATAAAGCACTACATGCTAGGTAATGGTGATCTCGTGATATACTAACACGGGGTAAAAATATGGGATGACCCTTGCCTATGAGTTTCCAGCAAATACAAACTTCATTTCTATTCAAATAAAATCTGAGATTTGTAAAATCTATTGCCGGTTTAATTTGTTCAACATTTGCAAAAATCCGACAGCTTATTTCTACCTCTGCTGAAAAACTCCTCATCCATTCCCTTATCCATACTTGTCTGGACTACTGCAACTCTTTATGCTCAGTCTGCCCATTTATTATTTTGACTCCCTTCAACAAATCCAAACAACTATGCTCGGATCATATTCAACCTTCCCTATAATTACCATACCTCAAAACCCTCCTCGTGCAACTGCACTGGCTCCCTGTACTACCGTTGCCTGTTCAAATTCCTCATCCTGGTCTAGAAATCCCTTCATGGTCGTGCCCCATCATATCTTGCCATGCTTGTATCTTTCTATGTGCCTTCTCGGCCTCTACTTTCTCAATCTTTGCTGTCTCTCTCTGTTCCTCCTCCGATTTGCGCTCAATCACGCTTTCGCTTTTTCTCTTCTTGCCCCTCTGCACTGAACAAACTTTTTTAAAACTTTTTTTTGTTTTCTATCTGCGTGACTTTACCGAAAGAGCCATAGAATATGGAACAAACTTCCCCTCCACATTAAACAGTCACCTTCACTCACTAGTTTCCGCTCCACACTCAAAACTCACTTATCTCCCCAAGCTCACCCCACGACCCCTTAATCTCCCCCTCATAACCACCACCGTGACATTTCCCTCTTTATATTCTCATGGCTTTCACTCATTCCCCATTCATTCAATCCATTCATCATCATTTACAGTCATCGATTTCGCTTTCACCGAATTCACGCACCACAGATTTGCCCATTGCTTCCTCTCATCTATTGCCTTCACCTCATCTCCACCATGACATTGATATGTACTATTATTAATTATGTGTAAAGTGCCTTGGATAAGGTGCTATATAAATTATTGGAAGATAAGGCAAAAATGTTGTCTCAAATTACAGGGGTTTGTGGACTAAGATTTTTTTAAAGTCTTATTTTTGTTGAAAATGTCAAGTTGTACAGCAGGGAAATAATGACGGTTATTTATGGCTGCAATGCTTCTTCAATGGTCACCAAACACCGCAACTGGATGGGAGTTGCATACTTGGGTTTAAATGTGTGTGATCAATCGACCCTTACTCCAACATGCTGGTGTACCCGAGTGTGCACCACCAAACCTAGCAGTGTGGAAGTGAATGTCACACAGAAGAGAGAGTTCAGAAGCAAAACCAAACGTGAAGATAAAATGTTTGGACAAATGTTTTCATGTGGTTGTGATTAAAGAAACGATGAGAAATTGAGAGCAGAATGTACTGAAAGCATGAACACACTTAAAAAAAATTGACAGGATCACTTACCTACCTGTGCTATCAAAGAAATGCAAATATTCGTATTGTCAAAAACTTTACGTCCAATTACGGCGTCAAGGAAATCAATCATCTTTTCATTGTCATTACTCAACAGGTAAAGCTGATTGTGTGCATTGCCTGCACATTGATTTTTTATTATACGTCTCAAACAGTAATTACCAGTCAGAGATTGTGCTGCTTCAGCATTGATGGGCAAAATAAAAAAAAAACATTAAGGGGTTTACTCTTTGGTTCTTTCGGTAAAGTCATGTAGAAAATAAAATTAAATAATACTAGAATACGACGTTTCGGTTGCAACACAAGCAACCATCATCAGGTAAGAATGAATGATAAAACACAGACACGGGAACAGCATAGGCAGACACACATGCAGAGAGAGACACACAAGACGCACTGTCTTTGTGTGTGTCACGCTCGGTGTGTCTTTGTGTGTCTATCTCTGCATGTGTGTCTGCCTATGCTGTTCCTGTGTGTTTTATCATTCAGTCTTAGCTGATGATGGTTGCTTGTGTTGCAACCGAAACATCGTATTCTATTATTTTATTTTCTACGTGACTTACCGAAAGAACCAAAGAGTAATTCCTGCAGTCACGAAAGCTTCGAATCTAGTTTGAAGGGGTTTGTTTCCTTATCAGAATCCATCACAGGTGCTTCTTGCCAATAATCATAGGGCTGTCCAGTGGCAATTCTCGAACAGGCCATAACCTGCTGAGGAGAACCAGTGAAATCAAAGTCAGTTCTTCATTTGCCTTGTTGAAACACGACCAGGAAACAATGATTTGCACGGCCTACTAGCTGGGTGGACTGAATATTATTTCATTTTAGCAAATAACCAAATTCCTTTAATGGCTTTATTACTCATTTTGTAATTATAAGTGCATACTTTGTGCGTATTACAAACGTTGCCTATATATGTTGCCAGAAAAGCCAATTTTCAGACTTTTCACTTTTGCATTCAACACCCATCGAATGCACATGCTAGTGTGACAGTGTTGCATTATTGTCAATACCGAGGGTACATTTTTGGATGAAGGACTAACGAATAATTAATCTTCATGGTATGCCTTACCACGTGCAAAATGTGAACATAAAGTCAAGGCCAAAAGTGACTTCCTGTTCAACCGAGTGTGGGACGGTACTAATTTGTTGGGCACCTTGAGCGAATGGTGGGAATTCAACATCCTATTGTGGGGACCAGTTTTTCAACACAGCTTCCCAAAATTCAAGTGGTATTTTTCAGCATTGTTTCCAAACCAGAATAACATTTTGCCATGCTTAGTTAAGCCGAGGCCAATATTAGAAAAAAAAATACTCATAGTTTCAATGGCTTGCTGCCTAACTTGAGACCAAGATCGCTGACTCTTACTTCAATAACATAACAAAGTATACCAAATGGGATGCAATGCGTATTTTCTTCAGTAAACACAAACCAGCCTCGATAAGTGTGTGAAATGAAGAAACTACAATATAAAGGAGTGGAAGAGTGACCAATTAACTTAAAAGGCAGGGATAAGAACTGTTTGTAGAAAATTTGTTTGGAGGTTGATAATGCAGACAATCCACAGTAGCCATTTGAATAAGTGTAAATTACTTGTAATTGCATCTCTCATTTCTCAATTCTATAAGCTAAAATTTAAGATGTACATAAACATTTCAATATGTAGTACTAGCGGGAAGTATCCGGCGTTGGCCGGGGGAAAAAAATATTAAGAAACTTCTCAAAACCTTAAAAACATAACATATACAAATGAAAATAAAACTTTGATCATTACCTCATTATTTAAAATAAAACCCAACGCGCGGTGGCAATAAAAACTTACGCTCGCGCACCAAGATTCGATTCTTTAAATCGAGCAAAGGAATCGAAGGTTGTATATTTCTTTAGAATCGGCCTATTCCCCTTTAATCGCTACCACAAACGCTTACCAGATATCGATTTTCGCCAGTCCTGGATGAGGGTTAACGCCACACACTTCATGGTCATTCCCCCCGCCCCCCCCCCCGAAATACAAAAGTCTATTTTTATACGTTTTACATTGTGTACCGTATGGGAGGAGCTAGCCACATGGCAAATTAAAAGTTTGTAGCCTAGTATATATCCATTATTGCCCCCTCCCCCAGCCATGCATTTGTGCGGGATACAGGGCCTACGCAGACTGTTTTGGGGGGGGGGAGCGTGACGTCAGCAGGCACACTGCGTAACGTGACGTCACCGCTCACTTGCGTGCAAAATATATCAATTATTGCGCCCCCCCCCATAAAAGTCTATTTTTTATACTTTTTGCATGGTGTACAGTCTGGAAAGTACCCACATGCCAAATTTCAAGTTTGTTGCATGTCGGGAAGTATGCTAAACATTTCGAAAAGACACATATTCACAAATTTCCCTTTTATATATATAGACTAGCACCGCTGAAAAAAATGGCTCCCAGGAGGTCGTGTGGCTAATGGAATGTGTAAAATACTTATGTTTTTGATGTGGAGGAACAGATATGGGAAAGAGGTGCATGTTATATATATTTTTAAAGACGATACTGCAATGTATGCTACTCCGGAATCAGTATGAATTGCAGTATATTGTACTAAATAGACATTTATTCCCCACTCCAGTGTCAATGCAATTCTGCAGATTTCACTTGGCTATTTTTTTTCAACCACGGTAATGGGAAGGACCCATATCGCGGATACTATTTTAATATAATCCATGGGGTAAAAACGCAGATAACCGTGGATAATAGGATGAATAGGGCCGCCGACCCCACAGCTGTGATGGATAGGAATAGCGTTTAATAGGGCCGTGGATAAAGGGGTCAGAGTAGTGAGCTGGCACTGCTGAGCTCCTGGGTCCAAATCCAGGGAGTTTCCCTGTGTATAAACCAGGTCCACGAGTGCAGGGGTTGATAGTTTCATTCCAGTCATCAATGTGTAGTGCCATAGAATCGGACACTTAGCAGCATAGCGCTTCTTGCTGGCAGGGAAGGGTATCTGCAGTTACAGCAGCTCTGACTGACAGCAGGTGACGTGATAGACCAGAGAGAGGGATATAGGGGAAAAGTTACAGATGGGGCACATGGGGGAGGCCCGGGAACCCGCTAGTAGGTTCTAGAGAGGGGGTGTGGCCGGGGCCGAGCAAGGCCACGCTGGGAGCATAAAAGGGGGCCTTGAGCGAGAGCTCGGGGCTGTCATTTGGAGTGGGATCCCGTCGTGCTGCTGGAGTCTTCGTCGCCTTCTCCATCTTCACCATCTTGGCGTCATCAGTCAGGCAGACTGCCAGCTGTCCTGACAGGGAGCGGTAGTTACTAAGTGTAAACTGTTAAGGTTGATAATAAACAGAGTGCCTCCTACTCTTAGTGTCTCTGAGTCAGTCACTACATTTGGTATCAGAAGTTTTAAAGAATTATTCAGGATGTCCAAGTCAGCCAAGAAGAAGACTCCAACTATTGTGTCCTCGGGTGAAGAGGATGATGGGGATGTTATCCCCCCGACAGCCCCGGAATCGAGGACCCTGGAGATTGGTCCTGAGGTGCCGATCCCTACGGTGCAATGTGAGAGGGACGTCGACTCCTCGCTTCGGCAGACTGGAGAAGGATGGCGCCAGCACAACGCACGTCTCGCGGTCTTGGTCTCTGCTGCGGCGGAGCTGGTTGCCCAGCTCGGGGTTGCTGTGCCTGCTGAGGATGTTGCAGCACAGGGGCACCGGGTGGGGAGCTCGACCATCCCCATCGGCCAAGCGCAGGAATCAAAATTCGGCAGCCATTTTGTCAACTGGGCGGGAAACTCTTCCCAGCAAATTCGACTTGCCGTCGGTGTCTAGTCCGGAGGTGACTTCTCTTCAAAAGCGACTGCCGTTCATCAAGAAATTTGTGGCTGCGGGGGGCGACTGGACGGCTTTTCAGAGCCGTTTCGCCACTGCTTGAGCCCTCGCGGGATGGTCCGACGAGGAAGCACTGCAGGCTCTCCCCACCACCTTGGACGACGACTCCTTGGCGGGATTTGATGTCATCCCCGCAGCGGAAAGAGCGACGCTGCCTCAAGCTTGTGCCCAGTTGGCTTCCATTTTCGACCCGCCTTCCAACGTACGTCGGAAAATTGTGCTGCGAAAATGGGAGACCGAGACGCCCCTTGCTTTTCGGAGCATGCTGCTGTCACTGGGTCACGCCGCATATCTGCGGATGGAGATGGGCGTCTCTCTGCCTGCCACGGAGGACGACTTGTCATCATTGAAGGTAGCCCGATGCATCCAAGCCCATTTATATTTACAGCGGTGGCCCGGGGTGGCCGCCTGTGCAGGGTTCTCTAAGGACGAGCCGGAGCGTCAGGAGCCGGCGCAAGCCTGCGCTTCGTTCGTTGACCAAATTAGTTCCGATGCAGTCCGGCGGGTGGCCACAGACGCGAGCTGGGCTGCGACTACTGGTTGACCTGGGGTCCTTCCCGACGCTCGCGGGCTGCGGCACGCTGACGGTCGTCAGATATTGTTCAATACCTTGGGTCCGGGTTTATTACTGTGGGTTCTCGTCGATAATTGTGAATGATCCCAGTTGGGTTTGTATTGTTCTTGTTGTTTCCGCTACGCGGAGGATGGAGGTCAACTGGGACGGCTGATTTTTTTTTTTACGAGGGGGGTGGGGTGACATAGAATCGGTCACTTAGCAGCATAGCGCTTGTTGCTGGCGGGAAGGGGATCTGCAGTTACAGCAGCCCTGACTGACAGGTCACGTGATAGAGAGGGATGTAGGGGAAAGGTTCCAGAAGGGGCACGTGGGGGAAGCCCGGGAACCCGTTAGTAGATTCTAGAGAGGGGATGTGGCCCGGGGCGGAGCGAGGCCATGCTGGGAGCATAAAATTGGGCCCTAAGCGAGAGCTCGGGACTATTGTTTGCAGTGGGATCCTGCCGTGCTGCTGGAGTCTTCATCACCGTCTCCGTCTTCACCATCTTGGCGTCGTCAGTCAGGCAGTCTGCCAGCTGTCCTGACTGGGAGCTGTAGGTACTAAGTGTGAACTGTTAAGGCTGTTAATAAACAGAGTGCCTCCTACTCTTAGTGCCTCTGAGTCAGTCACTAAAAATGTATGCACACATTGGGGGTAGTAAATGTTGGGCGATTGTAATTTGCCAAGAGGCAGAGAAGTCTCCAGTGTTATTCACAAACACTGGAAAAGGCCTGGCTACCTGTCCTCGTCCTATAAGCGACCAATCCACCACACCATGGCATTAGCTGTGATAACTGAATATGCTGACATTGAATGCTACAGGCACCATGAAGTATAACTTTACAGTTTAAAAAGTAGAAGCACTAACAACAATGTTAGCTTAAATACTTAAAGAGATCCCACTTATATATTTCCCAGGAACAGCGGTAATTAATTTTGGAGTGCCTAAATAAGCAATATTCAAAAGTCTCATTAAGTATGGTCGCAGGGTGTAGGCATAAGCTATTGACAGCCCTAATAAACCGACTTATACATGTTGTTATCAACCCAAACAAAATAGAATGTAACGTGAACAAAATGTAGACGTTTCTTAATTATCACCTAAATAGAAGTAAAACAAGCAAAGCACACAATAATTCATATCCACATTGATGACATGAGAGTATGGAATGAGAAGAACTGGGTATTAAAAAAAATAGGAAATTATCATGGTGAATACACACTGTAAGCAATGATAGGCCAAAGAAAATGTCAAACTAAATTCACAGAGAATGGCTGAACAGGACACAATAACTAGACCATAATATAGTTTTTATACATATGTGTAGTGACGTAAAAGGTGTCACTAGGGTGTTCGCACCAGCTGCTGTTACAGGAGTGCAGCTGTGCGCCTGTAACCTCTCTCTAGCACCAGAGTGGGTACAGCATGTCAGCCAGCCCTAGGGTGCGTGGTCCTGGTGGTGGCCTGAGTGAACCCGGGGAGGGCACGTGATGCTCGGCAAAGATCCAATGGGGAAGGTCTGGAAGGGGGCGTGGCCGAAGACGGAGCGAGGCCACGCTCAGGAGTATAAAGGGGTAGTCCCGAGAGAGAGCTTCGCTCGTCTGTGGAATCAAGCCTGGGTCCCACGTCTCACCGTCTCCGCGTCTTCGTCTAGAGTTAATTCGCTATTCACATAGTTAGCCACATCACCTATTATAGAACCAGAGTTATGTTCATTGTTACCTGCTAGGGAAGTTGTAAAATAAGTGTTGCCTCCCAGTCCAGAGAGTGTGTGCCTCTGTGTTGGTGAACAACACTACATATGCATGCTTTGAAAATATATTGTCCATTACATTAGGCAATGTCAATGTGTCTCCCTGCTTAAACATATGGGACAGTGCTAACTTTCCAATGGTGGGAATTCCACATTCCTTTGACAGGGGCTAGTATATCCAAAAGACAACTACTGCTGACTTCGCACTAAGCGGTTCTTGTTTTGTCAAACCTAAAGGGATGGTGTGCAGTCAACCTCCATCTGGGATTTTAACTCAAGTATTCTAACCATAGCACCACATGGCTTTAATTTATCACGGATTTTTTTTATCATGGAGGGCATTACATTCAGTTATCATATTTCACAAAGGTAGTTCATGATAGAATCAAAATTTATTAATTATAATTCACCCACTACATATTTCATTCCATGATTGTTGATGCCATTTTATGGTAATATAGCATCAAAGAGGTTTTAAAACTGAGAAATCTTTCAGAAGATGCATTTTCATATAATATACCCATTCTGTATTTTGCTGCACTGTGCTCAGTCTAAAGTGGTATATATAAATGGTCCATATAACACAGTAACCCAGTCACCATAAGTGACTCATAGACCCATAATGGATATCCAATGTGAGTCTGTAGCTAGGAATGGCTCAATAATAAGCCATTTGATGACAAAATTAACTCACATCTCCTGACTATTATTTTCTTTTAGGATTGTGGCTTAAAGTATAAGCGTCATTTGTTAGAGAATATAATTTAGCTTTTTCATATTTATCTTATCCACATTGACGATCGTTAAAAACTAGTTTAGCTGTGAATTATACATTTTTGGTAAGCAACAGCAACAGAAGGACTCGGGGAAAATGTGATTATGTATGGAAAACGTATAAAAAGAGGACAGCCAAGTAGGAGGGATGCTAGAATACTAAACATGTGGATGCATTTCGGACGTCAAGCAAGAATTCAAACGACTGGAGGAAGTAGCGGGGTACTTGTAACTGGCAGTGTTGTGAGCACGACTAATACAACTGGCAAACTATGTATCTGCGTGTGGGCAGCATTACCTGGAAAAGGGGCTTCACACGCGCACGGTTCATAGACTCCTCCAGGCTAAAGCTGAAGAGAACTTCAGCCTCTGCATCCCGTAGCAGGTAGGCTCCTTCATCTGAGAGAACAATGTCAACAACAAAGAACGTCAGAATGTCAACACGTAGGCGGTCAAACGGCCCAGCGGTCATGCTTTTGCCACTTGTTTCAGGGATTCGTGGGTAGAATCCAGCAGGTCACTCTGGTTAGAACTGAGGGTGTATTATCCGTAGAAATAAGTGCTGTCTACTCAGAACATATGTTAGAGATGCCCTGACGTGATTTGAAAGAGTGTGCCACAATTTGAAAAATTGCCAACAAATTACTCAGTGCATAGCATAATTAATCCCTATACGCAGACTATACGTCCCTGAAACATAGCACCTTTATTATAGCCCTGCACGATAAGAACGGCGCAAATACCAAAAGCACTAAATATAACTTTCACATGTTTGCATCATACGAGCCTATCTCCTACCTTTTCGGCAATCTGTACCAAAAATCTATTATATTTCTTTTGCATCTCCTGCAGCAAGATATTGCAATAGTCAGTTGTGTTTGTGTGTACATTTGCGTATGTTATGTAAAAACATGTTCTGCATTGAATCAAATTATATCTGGCTAGGTGGTGCTATGGTTAGAGCACAGTTGATACACAATTTGAAGGTTGTAAGTACAAACCTCATTCAGGGGAAGACCCAGCCTATCATCCTACTATGGTCAATAAAATAAGTATTATGATGCGAATAGCAAACAGCAGTTTTCTGATGGAAAGAAGGCCCCCGGGCATGGGAACACAGAATTTCCACGACTAATTCAGAGCCATCAACAGCACTGAGCACCATCACATGGCTTGTGTTAACAGGGAACTCACTTGAATTCTGAATTGATCCCACTCGGCTCTGTAAACATAAGGCCTACTGCTATAAAATGTGATTGCTAATTTGTACATACTCTTTGGGTCTTTCAATGAAGTCACGTAGAAAGAAAAATAATAAAAAATCACGACGTTTTGATGGCAACACAAGCAATCGTCTTCAGGTGAAAAAATATAGCAGGTGAACTGCTGACGCAGAATAAATAAAGCGAGAGAACTACTGCAGCAAGAGGTTATATAGGTTTGACATGGGTACAACCCAAGGGTAAGTGGGTGGGGCTAAATATGGAATTTACAAGTAATATATCTCGGCCAGTGTATTGCTAGAGATGAGCTTGTCAATCTGTTAATGTAACCCTACGACTACGGTGCTGAAGAAGCCATTGTATTGCTAGAGATTAGAGATTAGCATGTCAATGTGAGATGGCTCCCGCAGCAGCGGCTATGTTAATGAGACACTTTCAGCCTATTAAACAACGAAAGCCACCGCCACATCGAGGAAAAGGGAAGCAGCGGCTATGTTAGTGGGACATTTAGCCTATTAATGTAAAGACATTTAACAAGGTAATGCAACTCAGAGAGTCGGAAATAACTGTTAACATCGGCAGGTAGGATGGAAGCATCACAGCCGGTTATGACTTATCCTGGTAAATAACATCCTTCCAATTAATCGCAGTAACAGTTCTATTTCCGATGGTCTGAAATCCGTTTAGCTAAAGGGCTAAACTTTGCAGTCACACCTAAACACATACCAGTTTATGATATCATTGCCCAAGTAGACGTGGCTCTCAAGGGCCTGGGTCACATCGCTGCAGACATAGCAAGATCTGAAATCGCTGCAACCCTCAAAAATGCTAAGATGCCAGCTAGCAACCTCAGCAAAGATGAGCGTTTTGAATTATATACATAAAAAAGAGGGATGACATTGACATCCTCTCAGTCGACAAGGGCAAGGCCACTATCATCATGGATAAAATAGAATATAACAACAAAATTCAAGAACTACTCAACGACGGCAGCTACACAAAAATAAAAAGAGATCCCACCAACAGCCTCGTCATACAAACCAACAAAATCTTTTCTGATTCAACCGCATTATTTGATCAAACCAAACATTTCTCGTTGAAAGCTTCTGCTGCCAGGCCACCAAGATTATACGGCTTACCAAAAATACATAAAGTAGATACACCCCTTCGTCCCATCGTCTCTACTATCAACTCCCCCACCTACAAACTGGCTCATTTTCTGTCTGAAATCCTGCGGCCTTTCACTGGAAAAACCACCTCTGTGGTACAAAATTCTACTCACCTGGTATCGACAATCACGGGTATTTCCCTGTCCCCAGACGACCTGCTTGTCAGTTTTGATGTAGTTTCCTTATTCACCAAAGTTCCTGTACCTGACACCATCGCAATCATTGAAGACTTGGTTCATCAAGGACTAAACACTGAGGTACCCCCCATGGTGAGACACTGCTTAACCAATACATACTTCACTTGGAATGAAACTTTCTACAAACAAACTGAGGGCACCCCAATGGGCTCCCCCCTATCTCTGGTTGTAGCCAACATTTTCATGGGGACATTTGAGACTGACGCCATCCAGACTGCCACTCTGCGCCCAACCTTATGGAAGAGGTACGTGGATGACACTTTTATCATCTGGCCACATGGCCGGCCTGCTCTAGACCAATTCCTCGACCACATCAATTCCATACACCCAGCCATCAGATTTACCATGGAAGTCTAAAAAGATGGCAAGCTACCTTTTTTGGATGTCCTAATAAAAAAGAGACCTGATGGTTCAATGAGCCACGCTGTCTACAGGAAAGCTACCCATACGGATGCTTACCTGAAACCGGATTCCCACCACCATCCATCCCAGAAGAATTCCCTCATCAAGACTCTGCACCATAGAGTCCAATGCATATCCGACCAGGAACACATAGCCAGTGAACTCAAGCACGTACACCAAGCTCTTAAGGCTAATGGTTACTCTGACTACACAATCCGCAAAGCGATCACTCCAACCATGAAGAAGGACCCTCTTGAGGAGCCTTTCAAAACCATCACTTTACCCTACATTGCGGGGATCACAAAAAAGATCTCCAAAATCTTGAATAAACACAAGATCCAGGTCCGATTCAACACATTACATAAAATCCGTGATCTGGTTCCGTCTGTAAAAGATGTGATTCCGGACAAACAGTACCCTGGCGTCTACAAACTAAGTTGCCTCTGTGGTAGTAGTTACATTGGAGAAACCAAACGACATGTCTCGGACCGCATTCGTGAACATAAAGTAGACCTAAAACACGGTAGGACCAACACCTCGGCCGTGGAAGATCACTGTTATAATTCAGTAGGCTCACATGACATTGACTTCTCCAAGACAGAGGTTCTTTGCAAGCCATCTGGCTACCATGAGAGATTCGTTCATGAGGCTATCCACATATACAAACACAGAGACAATTTCAACCGAGAAGATGGATTCTGGCTTAGCAATCATTGGAAGGATTTGATAAACCATTTCGGGTATTAATTGATTGTTCACGCTTACGGTGGCTTTCAGACCGCATCCATTATTTTCGTCTCCCCCCTCCTCTTTTCCGAACATAGATAGACTCGTCCATCTGAATAACTGCCAAATCGCTCTCCGTAGTGCTAACAATAAAAAAACGCCACTTTTTTCAAATTTTCTTGCCGTGGTTTTCACACCTGATGCTGATTGCTTGTGTTGCAGTCGAAACGTTGTGATAATTGTTTTATATTTGTATTATTTTAATGTTTCCCTTCTACGTGACTTTACCGAAAGAACCCAGAATATGAATCCCTGCAGTCACGAATGCTTTAAATCAAAATTTAGATATTTAACGTTAACACTTCTGGCACCAGATTTAGTGAGTCATTCTGAGACACTATTTTGGAGGTAACAAAATTTATTTCATACTTACGTAACACCGTTACACAAGGGTCTAAATACACCTATTCTCACTCTTGTTGTGCATAGGACTACACCACACATTCTCACTCTTGTTATGGGACAATCTTTAATTGGGTCAGCGCAGCCACGTGCTGCCTGCCCACGATCTCGAAGACAGGGATGAAGAAGTAGCTCTTGGGTTCCTCTTCACACTAGACAGCCTGGATCTGTGATCGGGGCTTCCTTTTTATTCCTCTCGGCGTGGCCCGGCTCCACCCTCGGCCGCGCCCCATGTCTCAAATCTTCCTGACGGTTTCAGGCTACACCGCACCTGTTCCCTCTCTGGCTCGCCCTTCACCCATGCCTCTATCGAGAACTCTCTAGACGTACTCAGGTACTCCCCCCCCCGTGCCCCCTCGTTCACCTTTGGCCCACATTACACGTCCTCACATAGCCCCTACCACCAGCCGCCCCACCACCACACTCTTAAAGTGGCGTACTCTGTGATTCCCTGCGGCGCTGGTGGAGGTTGCAATCCCCTACTCTGTCGGTAGGACTCGTCAGGCTTCCTCCTGCTAGCACCCAGTACCATGCCCCTAGTGGCCCACTACATGGTACTGCATGGTGTGTTAGCCTCTGCACCTGTTTCACGCCACTTGGCGCGACATGCCGTAGTGATCCATTTAATATCACTACTCATGTGTAGTGACTAACTCGGAGACGATAAGACTGGAGGCACTTCTTTATTAACAAGCATAATCGGGGTTAACACTCTTAATAATTAGTCCGTCTATTGTCGGCGACGCTACTCAGCCAGGACAGTTGGCAGGCTGCCTGACTGGTGGCGCCCTAAGATGGCGAAGACGGAGACGACGACAAGAAGGATGGTGAAGACGATGAGAAGAATGGTGACAAGACTTCAGCAGCACGACGGGGATCCCACAAGCAATCGTCTTTCGGTGATTGCTTGTGTTGCGATCAAAACGTAGTGATCTATTATTTTTTATTTACGTGACTTGACCGAAAGACCCAAGAGTAAGTAATATACTGTTTAACTGCATGCCTATACTGGTCACCGTACGTCGATGGTGATTACATGTGAGCAGACAACAGACAGATACTGCGATTTTCGTGCACATAAAAATGGCAGGATATACGTGCATGTAAAATGTATGTTCATTACCCTATGAATAATTCAACTGGTAATGGATATCCATCGTAATTTATAAGCATACATTACCCCCCCCCCCCCCCCGGCCTTCGCACCTGATTGGCTCACAAGAGACGACATCACATTTATCCCTCGATTCAAGAATGATAAAGGAGGATTTTTCTACAAACTTGGCTGTCGCCTGATAAAGCTAGTTGTGATTACTGGCGAAACATCGTACTCAGATTGTAAATGTTGTGGCTTGGCTCTCCAACACACCGATGTGCTGTACGAGTGATAAATTGGCATGTTCTGTTTACGTGACAACCTTTACTAATTGGCTGTGTTGGGTGGTGGCGGGTTTAACGACAGATTTATATATTCACGTGATCTAACCCAAAAAAACCTGTATTATTGTTAGTTTTTATTCAAATTTACGATGACACACTACCCAACGAAGGAAACCCCTGGAGAATTTACATGAATTGACAGATACATTTTCAAAGCTGCTGCTGTTTTTGCAACAATGTGCCTGTGTGCGACAGACGTCGATAGCGATGAACAACAGCTGTTGCTAAGGTGCACAAGAATGGTTTGAAGAACGAATCTATTTTAAAACACTGTCAAGTATCACCGATTGTTTACATGAAATATTATATTTTATATTTTTGTTCATTGTCATTTGAAACAATTGCTGTTGCCGATAAAACAATGCTTTTGATTTCAATATGTAATAAATAAAGCAGAGAAAACCAATACATTTCAAAGTTTAATTATTCTAAAACATACAAGGAATCTAAAAAAAAGAAATTGCTAAATTTTATTCCAAGTCGATGACTTAGACGATCTATTTAGGACTCTCACAAAGCAGTCTATTACCACCGGAGATGCAATGGCTCATCGGAGGAGACATTGTGATCTCTTTATGGCTCTGAGAATTTACCTCTTTAGTCCATTATAGGGGTCCATGCACTTTTCCCCAAGCCCGGCTACGGATTGAAGTCAAACCAAAACACTGAACACTCAGAGCTGGAATTTTGCAGTTAAATTGATTTATATATTTTTTTGTGCAGTCGATGACCAGGCTGAGACCATCAACTCATTACACTTCAGATGCTGTGTTTAATGACAGGTGGCTAATTGGATTTGAATCTATGAACTCTGTGCTCTGATACACTAGAATATTGTTATATCCTTAATTCTGTATTTCACACACACTAGAACAGAAATATGTACTGTATTTTAAAAGCACTGGAATAGCAGTAGTGTATACTGTATTTTTTTGAAAGTTACTAAGGTGTAATGGGTAGCATGACTTACCATTGTGTGAAAGTGGTGAGTGAGACACTTTGGGTTGCATCCCCCACTATAGGACATAAGTGGCACATTGTGTCTAGGCCATACAAGGGCCACCCCTAGATGTAAGCAGATTTTTATTGTTCCTCAATATTGCCAGAATTCTCAGCACTTAAATATGATTACACATTGTATGTTGTTTTAATGCTGTGCTTTTTAAACTCAAGCAATAAAGATTGCAATATAGGTCAAATTTGGTTTCACATGCTCAGGGGAAATTCAGGTTTGATTCGGCAATAATGGATTTGACCCATTCCTAGTATAAATAAGCTCCTTGGAGACGTCCATTTTGTAGAAGTAGAAACTGCATTTCTATCGTCAACATATTTACAGTTCCGAACGTAATAACCGCCGCACTCGTAATTACTACGGCTATCTTCAGCCCCGATGGTTTCCAGCAAGTTCTTCTCGATCAGTCAGCCCTGATGGTTTCCAATTAGTTGTGCTCGATACAGTTGGCCGCGATGTCGTCCACCTTGGTTGTCGATTAGTCCCCGAGCAAGCGCCCGGACCACTGAGTACCGCAGGTATGGTAAACTAAGCTAACCTCAATGTTAACTACCCTTTTAAGGGGGAATATTTCAACACAAGGCAATACACAACCAAAAGGTACTATAACATCCACTGCAAATCCGTCAATGTAAGTGTCGCTGAATGACACATCCGTGCCAGCGACGCTCCTCCCCAGCGCTTTCTTGGATGACTCCGTTGCCCTCCCCCATCCTGCTGATCTTAATTGGGATCGTTCCTGATTCTTTCTTGTTAAGTCCTACAATGTTGCTCGGAGATGGCTTGGTTGTCGAGTCGACTTCACCCCAGCATCCTCTTGCAATTTGGCCCGGCCTCCCGCAGCGGTAGCAGTAGATCGCCACATGATCCCGGGTCCCGAGTCTGCCATGGTCACTGCTGTTGTCGATCATGCCTTGGGTTATTTAAATTCTGGATGGCCGCTGTCATCTCCTCTAAGGTCGCCTGAAGAACGTGACCCATTCTGGGCCCGGCGGTCGCCGCTGTTGTCGCTGCTCCTGTCGGCTCCGTTTGTCCTCTGGCTCCTCCGCTCTCCGTCATTTCTGACACCTGTGCCACCACCTGAAATGGCGTTCTAGCATTTTTGTGTGCTTGGAGGCACTTCATGAACCACATCGAAGTCTGGTTGCTCTATGGTAGGACAAGGTCGCTCCCTTAGATGAGGCCTCGCATCCGCTCCGCCACCAGTGCTTCCCAGGCCGCCTCATCCATCCACGGGAACACATTTGTGAGCGCCAATAAGGCGCTACGGTATGCCATCGGCGGCTTGCTATCCCCTCGTCATCGGGATGAAAATCGCTGCCTGGCGCTAGACGGTGTGCCATCTCTTCGTAGGCCTGTCGTAGCGTGGCACGTTGACTCTCCAGAATCGTGTAAAAGGCAGTCAGCGCTCCATCGTCAAGCACCGTGGGCAGCGCTTGAAGGGCCTCCTCCTCGCTCCATCTGCTGACTTTGACGGTAGCCTCGAATCTTTTAATAAACGCCGCCCAGTCGCTTCCGTGCGCCGTAAATTATTTCAAGGGTCCCACCCTTCCTATGCGCTCCGCCGGACCTCGGGTTGGCTCAGTGGAGGTCCTTGGTGGAAGCTCGCGTGAAACATTTTCGGCTGGGATCACCACTAGACGTAGCTCCTGCGTTGGTGAAGTGGTTGAGGTCCGCGATGCAGCTTGTGACAGTGGCCGAACAGGTTGATCGGCTCCCGCTTGCTGCACTGTGAGGGGGAGTTGCGGCTCCGGCTCTTTTGTCCAAGTCCACTGCGCTGCAAGGGGAGATGGTGGCTGCATCCACGAAGCTTTAGCTCGCTACGTGGCGGGTGGTGGCGGCTCCGTCTCTGGAATCCCAGCTCGCCGTGTGGCAAGGGGAAGCAGCGGCTCCGTCTCCAGGCCGACAATGTTGACTCAGCGCTAAGCGGGAATTTGCAGCTGCTCCGGCTCGATGACATCGGCTCCTTGGACTGCGGGGATAGGCGGATGCTCAGGTTGCCCGGTATCAGCTCTTTCCCCCTCTCTCCACGACGATCGCCGTCAGCAACCGATCAATTACGGAGGTAAGGCGGTCCCAGTCTCAGCTATCGATTTCCAACTCTTCTGTCTCAGCGATTCTGGTTCACCGGTCTGTGGCAGGGCCTCCACCTCCTTTGGGAACGTAGCTGCAGGCAGGGTCCGGGCTGTCACTTGGTTCCGGGTCTCGGGGAACCGGGGCACTTCGGGACGACGCCTCTACCTCCAATGGAGCTCCTCTCTGGGTCTTCTTTCGGGATACTGTAGACTGAATCCCACAACTGCCACCAGTGCAAAGAAGCTCCTTGGAGACGTTCATTTTGTAGAAGTAGAAACTTTATTTTTATCTTTTTCTTTGGTTCTTTCGGTAAAGTCACGTAGAATGAGAATAAAATAACAAAATAAGACAATAAAATTCTCACGACGTTTCAGCCACAACACAAGCAGCCTTCATCAGGTGAAAAAACAGAGCTGTCGGGACGACAGTGCTCCAATGAACAAAAAGATTTAACAACGCTCATTGGAGCACTGTCGTCCCAACAGCTCTGTTCTTTCACCTGATGAAGGCTGCTTGTGTTGTGGCCGAAACGTCGTGATAATTTTATTGTCTTATTTTATTTTATTATTTTATTCTCATTCTACGTGACTTTACCAAAAGAACCAAAGAAAATGAATCCTTGCAGTGACGAAAGCTTTAAATCGAAATTTATTTTTATCGTAACGTATTTACAGTTATGAGCGCAACAACCGCCACACTTGTAATTACTGCGGCTATCTTCAGCCCCGATGGTGTCCACCAAGTTGTTTCTCGACCAGTCAGCCCCGATGGTTTCCACTCAGTTGTTCTCGAACCATCGACCAAGATGTCATTCACCTTGGTCATCGATTAGTCCCCGAGCAAGCGCCCCGACCGCCGGCCTCGCTCCCCCTTATATACTTGCTCGGCCACACCCCGATCGGACAGTGACCCCATCACCACTCTACTATAACAGTGTATTCTTTATTGAATAATAAGAACAGTGTCTTCTAGCACTTTCTCTGTACAGTCCCCTACACTAGTATTTCCCGAAACCATCCCGACCACTGAAACCACAATAAGGAGGTCATGAATATAAATCCCGGGTGGGGGTAAACTCAGCGCACCATCCCTGTGTCGTCAATAAAATAGGTATGCCTGTGTAGGGGATTCAATGGAGCTCACCCATCAAAGTCTCAGGCCTGCTGTTGAGCGGGGAGACACTTTGACCTGGAATGTTTAACTTGACCACACGACTCACCTAGGAACCGCTGCTGCTTAGCGCTGTCTTCAAGCCAGTTGGGCATCACGATGTTCTTGACGACGGAGATGGCCGTTAAAAACTTGACGGTACGAGTCACCTTGTTGGCGACCAGGTGGGTGCACTTGTGCACGCTTTCGGCGACCTCTCCACCAAGGAAATAAAGTTTCTGGCGGAGAAGCAAGAGAAGGCGATGTACATTGGGCAAACAAAAAAGTGTTCTTTTGAACATGAGGATGCTGAGTTGTGAACTACAGATGACTTTGTCATGTTTTGCTGCCATTTGTTAATTTGTTTATTAATTTTAGATTTTTCTTGGGAGTAGGGTTTTCGTTTGCTTAATATGTTGGACTTCTTTTGCACTGTGCATAGTCAACCTCGTATATGGGATTTGGTCCTTATATATAATTAATGTACAACGTTGTGAGATTCTGTTGGCATGAATTACGCTATATAAAATGAAAGTATTATTATTAAGCCAAAGAAATTCCCTGCTCAAATAGACATTGGGGCGATATTCATATCTGTTGGTTGAACCAGGTCGGTGGTGACAATTCCACATTACCGTTGTGCGAGCAGTTTATTATGAATACTACCAACGGAACGAAAAAGTGGCACTTGTTTGGTCAATTATGGCAAGACGATGCGTTAACCCCAGACCGTGATTTAAACTCGCAACCTTCCAATTGTGAGTCAAGTGCTATTTACCACAGCACCAACTGGACACATTGGGATGTTGCATCTTAAGGGTCAAATTACTTACAGATAAAGGTGTATTGCCAAACCCCTATTCACTTCTGCATAAATTCACCTTTTTCATTGCAGTTGCTATGGTAACCTGTGAGTAGGAGTACTTTATTTAAAGCTAATGGAGGATTACTAGACAGTGTAAGCCACATAAAGAACGTAAAACATTTAACGAGGATATAATTTTTCTACAAATGATGGTATCACTGATTTGTGTTTGTGCATATGCATTCATACTACAATGCGGTTTCAGGAAAGGGCAGTCCTGCACAGATGCCATATTTTCTGTCCGTCTGCTACAGCACAGCAGAGGTGTAGGGAATTCCAACAAGACCTACATCTCTGCTTTATTGACCTGGTCAAGGCCTATGATACGATCAGTAGGCCTGGGCTCTGGGTTGTTCTTTGTGCTTTCGGAGTCTATGACTTTCTGCTCACGATCATTAAGGACCTTCATGATGGTGACCGGGCCCGGGTAAAACTACGTGGCCGGGAGTCGGAGCCATTCCCTGTACACCTTGGGGTGTGACAGGGTGTGACAGGGATGTCCTCTGGCTCCTACATTATTTAACATCTATTTTGACCACGTAGTTCGTGAAACCTTCAATAGCTGTACCGGAGGAATTTCCATTTGTTACAGATACAATGGGAGGCTGATCGATGCCTGGGTGCGGTCAAGGGATGGTTCCCTATTGCTCAACCATGTTATGAATGCCGATGATCTGGTAATTGCTGCTCACTCAGAGGAGGAGTTGGAGGCGTTGATGCTGAACCTGGAGCTTGCCACTAAGAGGTGGGGCCTTACCATCAGCCCCACCAAAACTAAGCACCTGCCTGGGTATTTTGTACCATCGGACACTCCATCCCCACAACTCCCAATTGGTGATAGGCAGGTGTGGAGAGAGTGGAGAGTTTCCCATACCTGGGAAGTGTGATCAGGACCGGCTCTGGTTTAACAGCAGAGGTCTCACTCCGAATCAGTTGAGCGGCATTATCGTTTCATCGGTTACGTAACGCTGTGTGGAAGCTACCTCGTCTGTCGCTCCGCACGAAGCTTCAGGTCTTCTCGGCCACAGTCATTCCTTCCCTTCTCTATGCTTGCGAAACGTGGACCCCCCTAATGGAAAATCTTCCCCGGTTTGAAAGATTTAGGCTGGCCTGCCTACGATCCATCCTGGGTTTAACCAGGCTGGATTGTGTGAGCTCACAAATCCATGAAACATCTGGACAAAGTCCCATCGGTGAGCTCCTCCGGCAGGCAAGGCTGCGTTGGCTGGGTCATGTAGCTCGCATGCCTAAACAGATGTTGTTCGGCCGGCTCAAGGGGGCTAAACGGGCGCGGCACGGGCTAGAGAAGAGATGGAGTGATGTGGTACAGGAGGATGTGGAGCTGAGTGGACTTGCCAATGACTGGTACCAGCGGTGTCAAGATCGGCCTCTGTGGAGGCTTGTGAAGGACGCTAGTGGGCAGTTGGAGGCAGTAGCCCTCCAACAACAACGGAGTGCGGAGGAGCGACGCTCACAACAACGAGCGGAGCGCCGGGTGGCTAAAGCACAGCAAGTTGGCACAGTAGGGGGCACAGGTGGTGTATCAGCCAGTCGTCTCAGTCAGTCGAGCTGTGGCATCTGGGTCTGCCCTGTGACCTCCTGCCAGCGGGCGTTCGACACTTCACGTGGCTTTAAAGTGCACATAGCCTGGCACAAGCGTCGTGGTGACATCACCACCACTTAGTGGCGAATGGCGGTTGTTGTTGATACTACAAGCTGACATTTTGTAAAATTTTCCCACTGCTGCCATCTTTGAATTTAGTATATCAGTAAAATGGTAGAATATAAAAAGGTGACTTTTTCAATGTGAAACCTTTCAATAGAAAATCAACGAATATTTAAGGGCTAAATCTCAAATGATAGGGCCACATGGCACAGTTGGTAGAGCATGCAACTCACAGCCACATGTTTGTAAGTTAAAATCTGAGACAGGGGTTAATTTTGCCCATAATTTCTGTGGTAAATTATAAATTATAATAGTACCTTTTGCATGTATGTAGGTATGTTTAACTTATTTCACATGTCTACTGGATATCTGTGAAAAAGAGCTTCATAGCTCATCGGATTCCTCCAATCTAAAAAACTATTCTGATATAGCTATTTTCGGCAATACTTCAGCAATGCCGATTGAGAGGAGCACCCACAACAGTATGAGAAGGCAGGCACTTTGTCTGTGACCTTACACATCCATATCTGCTACACAGCATGCCTGTGGCAGTGAATGATGGACGAAGGTGTTGACATTGGCAATGCTGTCAAGGTTGCCAATAGCACTGTGTGGATGAAGTGTGCCTGCTGCCTCTCTCACAACCTTCATGTACTCGTGCACTTGGAAGAGCTCAAAGCCAGTGAAGATCACCCGGTGAGTGGCATCGCCCGGACCACGGCGTTGGGAAAGCGAACCCTCCTCCAGCCTGCACATGGGAGCACAGGGATGTACGGAGACATGATGAAGAATTAGTGGTGTCAATCAAGCAATTCATGAGGTGTCAGGCATGAAAGATGCGATGAATATACAAAAGAATAAGGGCTATTTCACCACTTCGAGATAAATTTCATACAATGTTCTTCGACTGCTTGAATGGTTCCCACAGCGGTCATGAAGGACTCTTGCCTAAAATCAGCCAGTGTGTGCTGATGAGAAACCGAAAGCCAAATTAGTCCAGAGGTTTCAGTTTCAATGTTAATAACAGATACTGGTCTAGAAGGTCCTTTAGCTGAGGGACCTGAATATGATTTGTCAGTTTAATTAAATATTGTGTATTACTTTCATCACTCACAATCCACCAAGCCGGTGCATAATTATTCCATTTAAAAAAATGTTTTAAAGAGAAAGGGCATAAAAATACTAAAATTATTAGTTAAAATTAAGCTAGAAATTAAAATCAAAAGTGTATGAGCAAATAAAATATTAATGGTCAACTGCATACTTTCTAATTGTGAAAGATAATCCAACACACTGTGTAGTGTTAAGGTAAGGGAATCATATGTGGCTATAGTAACCAGTTGGGCATTGGTATGCAAAGAGCACCCAATAAAAGATTAGAAGGCCATGAGTTGGCTGAGCCCATTATTCCAATGGGCCTGATAAAATTATTACTACTTAGTGAGAAGTTGTCTTTTGGAAAAACGGGTCCCTGTCATAGGGATATCAAATTTCCTCCAGTCAGAATTTTTGTTGTAAACGAATAACACCAATGAACATTTAAGTGACTCAAAGTGTGTGTTCCTGTTCTAATGAGCAATGTGTTTGTGAGCAATGTGCTCTTTCAATAAGCAATGTGCTCACTAGAGCATGCAGACACTGTGTGACAGCGATGAGTGAGTCGTGGAAATTCCACTTTCCCATGGCTGGAGCCAATAGTTTGGATTTTAATATCTTATCTAAAATAAACATTAGGCGTAGGTATAGGGAGTGGGTTAATAACTATATAGCTTCCATATAAACAGACACCATCATAAGATGAATTATCTGGCATGTTTGTAAAAACAACATGTCAATCTGAAGCATAACTTCTTATAAAGTTTTACGACCCTATCATTTTTTTATCACACTTGAAAGGGTTAGAGGCTCTGCTGTTATTTAAGAGTGGTTATTGGGACCTGCGAGGGTCCTTTCGGGATGGCAATTCAAGTACAGTGGTAAACAGGGTCCAAGATATTTTCATCTGTCATGTAAATCAAGTAGAGTACATGTGTTGCAATAACCTACAGCACTACATATTGGCAGCGATTTGCATGAACACCAAGTTATCATGTTACCAAGGGAGTGCCCATTAATATATGGGCATTCCTCGATGAACGGAACAGACCTGTTCCTGAAAAGTTGTCCAAAAAGTCATATTCCGTATATATCAAACCTATTTTCCCATTGGCTTCCATTGTATAATTGGAGATGCGTTCCTACAAAAAAAATTAGGCCCCAAGACGTAACAAAATCGCACTTAACAATGCAGAGTATTTTTTTATAAGAAAACACCTTAATGGCAATTCAATACATGTTATGATAGAATATTAATACCGAAAATAAGTCACAAAATAAAACATACTGTATAGTACATAATTATATAGCACTTCTGCTATGACTTGCACTTAATGGCCTCTTCCCAGACACGTTGACAATTTTACTGAAACGTTATGAAAGGATGATCAACACAAAGGAGTGAACAAAAACAAGACGAGGCTGGGCGGCATGGAGAGTGTGGGAACCCAGTGCAGTGTAAACAGTGCAGTATTCCGGCAAAGTGTTGCTCTTATGGTTGCAAAAGATTCAGGAGGATGCATCAATAACATTCCATGATAAAAATCAAAGCAGCAATAAATGTACACGGGAGCTAAAAGCGTGTGTGAAAGGGGGACAGTGTAGAATTTAAAAATAATGTCATGATGGTACCTGGGTTTCTTTACAGATGACTGAATACCATCCGAGAGTTTTCTTTTGGGAATATTTCTGGATGCCTGAAATGTAAAGCAGTCAAATGTTAAACGGTTGCGTGTTGGCAGTTTTATTAGACCGCACAAATTATTGATGGCATCAGCATCCCTGTACTGCTGTGATTAGAAAATACATTTTGAACATCAGAAAGATTACGAACGACAGGGGCCAATTTGGCCCACCTCGCTCGTTAGGCCAGACCAGGAAACTGCAGACAAGCTGGAAGGAAGGGAGCCAGGAAAAAGCACAATCGCCCAAGCTCTGTGGTCTGCAATAGAGGGGGGGCAGATACTAGTGATGTATAATCTAAATTAAGTTCTATGTGGGAATAAATTAAGAGTGGTTAAAGCATGTGACTTCCAACTTGAGAGTAACTCAGCTTATCATCTCCCTTAGGGGTGGATGAAATGAGTCAGCACTTTGAAAGGTCAACAGTGGTCCTCTGATGGAGAGATTTGTGTCTGCTTTGAGAATGAGGAATTTCCACCATTGATTCAGCGTCACGGGTTTAGACGCGCACTGCACCATGTGCACTTGGAGCATGGAGACACTAACTTTTTGGTCTATAGCGACAGGGTATCCATTGGAAGTATCATCCATTATTATTTTTAATATAGAAAGTTATACAAATAATTTCCTTATGGTTTGAAATATTGGCAAAAAAAATGTGTAAGAATATAATTAGAGTAATTTGCCTATTGAAAGTCTACCCATGGAATGAGAATGTGGAAATTCCACCACTGGCTCAGGGGTGCTTTGGAATGCTCATTTAAGCAAACAACATATGACTAGCTATCGCTGCATAGCAAACACTTTAAATTGATAGGTGTTTTTCTCTACGAATAAAAAATGAAACTAACGTTCACTTAGACGACCTCAAGCCCATGCTGAGAGTATTCCTGTCATCCACGACTTGACTTCTTGAACCCACAATGATTAGCTAGCAATAAATCACCGACATTAAAACTGTACCATATAATATTCATTGCTAAACCAAACTGTCTACTTTTAATCAAATGAGTAAGAGTAGTGTTCTTTCCTGCTACCCACCCTACGCCAGTGGTTGAAATTCCACATTCTCATAACAGATGCGAATCCCTTGACTAGCCAGCAACAATTTACATCCTGAAAAAGTGCAACTAATTTTATCAATCCTGAGTGGAAGATCGATCTCTGACTGGGATTTTAACTCGCAACTTCTAATTGTACGTCACACATTCCGACCACAGGGCCGGATAAAAAGCATCACAATCTCAAAATATATGTAAAGACAGAGGGAGAAAAGGATGATGGAGCTAAAAACAGCTGAAACCTGCAATGAACACTGATTTTCCATGCCTCTGAATATTTGACTGCAAGGCAGCTTCAAGCCTGCTTGCGTTTAGCTCATCCTTCCAAAGCCAGTCACTGAATACCTTGAATGGCTTTTTTACCATCTGCCTATTCACTGAAACTATAAAGGTGTAGGTCATAAAATCATAACTTGCCATCTCAGAAAATGTGATTCCCAAATTCTCGGTACACGTCAGTCAAGGAGCACACTAAAAGTGAGGTTGTTGGACTGGCCAATATCACCTTGAAGCCCAAATAGTGAGGCTGCAAGTTATCAAAGAAAATGGGAATATTTTAAACAGATTGCTAACTCATCTGTGCATAAGTCTGAGTGTTAAAACCTTGCATGCATGAGCTTTGAAGCTTTCCTATGTCATTAAATCACTCTACTGCTCAAACAAATGTGGATGATCATTTTAATTACTCCAAGTTTAGAGTTCCTCCAATGTTATGCATTAAATTGTGCATAAAATTAGAATGAAATTTGGTACACTATGAAGTTTTTATAGCAAAATATAGGACTGAGTATGTAGTTTTGAAACTGCAACATTTAAACAAATCCATTATTTCTAATGGCAAATCACTATAAGCTTCAAATAAATATTTTTTTCTGGAAGGTTGAGCCCACGCTAGTGTTGAATTTACAAACGAAATTATCACCGTGTTATTATTATTCTTTTGTTTTATTTTTCTACCTACGTGACTTTACCGAAAGAACCAAAGAGTATGGATTCCTGCAGTCACGAAAGCTTCAAATCAAGATATCACTTTGTATTTATTTTTACTCAAGTCAATGGCGACGAGGGGATGAAAATGTCCAAGCGAGATGATGACCGAGCCTACTGCAAGAGACAATTAACGAGCCTGAATGAAGGCACGCACATTGGTAAGTAATTTAGATACAGATGTAACGTTTGATTAATGCACTGAGTACGTTATTGGTGGGGGATGAGCGTGATAGGAGATGATAGGAGATGAAAGGGAGGGCGGAAATGTTGTTGACTTATCCAACGGTAAAATCAAACCTGAAAGCCTCATTCCTTTGACATGGGAGAATTAACCCTGTCGCCAATTCTGACCATCAAGCCTACTGCTTATCAATGTTGATGTTTAATGCAGCATTTTCATATAATTAAGCATGCAGCTTTTTCATGCTTAATTTACACAGGTGTGAGAATTTTTTTTATGATGCTTTTGTTACCACTTCTCTCCCCACTTGCCAAATTACCTTTTGTAAATTTCCTATGCACGAGCTGTGCAGCGGCTTCAGACTCAAATGCATTTTAAAGCTATTTAAATTCAAATTGTGTAGCATTATGCAACCCTTCATTCATTGTTTCGTCGTTATTTCATCCACAATATCACAGATAAGAAGTCGAATCAAACCCATAGACAATGCAGTGCATCAAAGAATGGGATTTTTGGTGACAATAATGAGATTTTCAGGATATGGTGAACTCTATTTGTGGAATTCTATGGGGACAACTACCTAAACATGTGCAATGGTTGTGTATAAATACATCGAAATGCAAAGACACGCTGGAATAAAATAGTTATATTTACTGCATGTGGAACAAATATTAATATTTAATCATAAGCACAATATTGTATTGTCAAAATAAAACAAAAAATACAACACATTAATTAAACATTGTAATCCAAATGAACAAAACTATTAATGAATATTGATTATTCACAAAGTGGAACTGTCATGTTTCTGGTAAAAAATTATATGAAATGTGCATGAGGACAAGATCTTCAGCTGTTCACCTGCATGCTTATTACTAATAATTGCAAACGTTCACAGGACAGAAGCATAAACTTACCAGCAGCGCTTCTTTTGAGATTCTTATTGGAACCTTCCAAGAAACTATGGTTGATTTCATTGGAGAAAAAGAACATCCATCATATAAAGTTAAACATTAAAATCTCAAGTTTATATTGAAAGCAGCGTTTTCAAAGTGAACACATTTTATAAATGTACAACGACCACAATAAAACACAAAATATATATATAAGAACCAAAGAATACAAAATATATGTCCAATGTCCATTTTCGTTGGAGTAAAATGCATTTAACCAATGCCAACATATTAGATTTCTTAAGTATCAAATATCATTAATTGCAATGATACAATCTGGCTGGAAATGTGTTTCTATTCAAATAAAGCCAAAAAGACAACAGAAGTACCTGGATAGTGTATAGTGGGTGTGTGGCAATTGATTTAAATTATAAATACAAACAGTAATTCAGAGAAAGAATAATTGTTTGGGAGTTGACATACAATACAATGAAAAAAGTTTGAAATGGTCCATAAACACATTAAAAGTATTTCTATATAATTTACACAAGCTCTCAACATGTCCTCTGGGATATGTCAAGTATGTTTATATGGCAAGAGTAAAGCATTGGCAATAGAGTGGGGGAGGGGTGGGAGCCACCTTTTAAATGTGTAGCTAAATTACTGTACAGGCATACCTCTTCTAGCACTGCCTCTCATAATGCTGTTTCGTTATAACGCTTTTAGTCCTGGAGGAAAATTCCTAAGCAGATAAACCTATATATGGAAGAAAGTTGGCGTGGCTTTGCTCGTAGGCGTCTTTGCCCATATATGGTCTTGTGAAACCTGAATCGAGGTGTCTAATGTATCGATTCTGCTCATAGTTGATCCGACAACCACATTACAGAATTGATTAATCATGGGTTAATCACTGCATCGATTCATTGGCGATCCATGGAAAGAGTTATCCCATTGATTAGTGTAGTTTCCCATGGAATGTGTGTTTACGGCCGATGGTGGTTAATCTTACTCAAATTCTGACCGAATGCACTTGTGAGGACATAACTTATTGCATTCTTTAATATCAATGGTATTCAAAGTTATGTATTTTTAATTCATAAAATCCTTATATATTTAGCATTTGTTACCATAACATTATTAAGGTATTTACCGATACTCCCATGAAGACCTCATATATTGCCCATAGGTAAAACATAGCGCTGTCGGTAACGCATCTCCATCGGAACCATGCTATGACGTCCTTATAGCGCTGTTTTGTTTTGTGCTCCGTTGACCAAGAAGGCATCCTGAGCGTGATGAGAGGCGTGCCTTTACACAACTTCCAGTACCTTATTGTAATGGTCTCATATAATTTATTTCATGAATACAACGAATGATATTTATGTAATAATCAAGTTTATGAGCAGGTTATATTTGCAGGACGTTTTGCTTGAGACAGGCGTTCAATCACGTATTTTTGCATTTTTGTATGCGGCAGCAAGCTAGGCAGAACACAACATGACACCACTCACTCATCCACTGCAAGGCCAGCTAAACACTGCATTTTATGCACTGCCTCCTCAATTCACATCTTAGTCAAAGGAAGTTAGGCATTCTTACCCACATTGTAATCCACCAACCTCGCATCCACAGCATCAGAATGTGCACAAGTGGCATCAAGCCTGGCAAATCCCTGAATCGTGTAATGAACATTATCGTGCTATTATGCACATTACAGATATACTGTGATCATATAGGAGCATACATTCGCTCTTCAGGGTATAAAAAGAGTAGCCATGGAAGGTTAACTTACATGGTGTTTTTTTTTTCCAATGCATCGATACAAATCTACTTTAAAATAATTGTTTTTGAAATTTCTCCCCACCCCCCATCATCAACAGCTACAATTCTGCAATTTGCACGTTTCAGCTTCAACAGACTGCACGAATAAAGCTAATTAAAAGTGAAAATAATCTGGTCTGGGGCATTTGAGAGATAAGAACAAAATTCCAAGTCACACAACTCCTTTGGCAGCCCTCAGCCAAGTGTAGAAATTCCACATTCCTATGGTGGGACCGGTCTGTCACGAGGGGTGGAATCAACATACGCTTTATGCTTACCAAGCAGATTGGCCACCAGCTGGCGATCTGGAGCGAAGGGGTCTGCGAGGCTGAAGGTGGTGTAGCGCACATGCTGAGGCTGCCTCAGGGCTTCTAGGTTTCCCGCGAGCACGTCACAGAGCCAAGTGATGTTCACGCATGGCACACGCCACTCGCGTGCCTTCTCAAACTTCATGCCGCTCGGGCTGCATGCGTTGGTGACAGACAGAGACGTTCATATTATTATGATCAGCACCTTCATAGGCAGATACAGGCAAACGTCATCTATTTTTACATCAAGTCGTAACGATTTCACACATTAAAGGTTTTATTTTGCACACAAAAACTATGGTGGGGACTAAGGCCTGCCCATGCCATATTGGGCATGGGGGTTCTTTGACCACAATCTCGACCACACTGTTGTCAGTGCGGCTTAAAATAAGCTTTCTAGGTTCATTGCGCAGAGCAGTGATGCAGTGGTTCACGCACTGTGCTATTGAGCCTACCGGTCGGAGTACGGCTCCTTAAATATAGGTCAACTAAAATTGATCGTTAGGTGTGCGACTAAGTCAGGTTGGTTCACATTGGTAGAGAAAAACTCTGCAGTGAATCGGGTAAACTTGACTTGCAGGGTGGCTGAAAAAAAAACAGCACCATTCCTCCTCAAATTCTGTTTAGCGCAAACCAATCACTGCAAATAAGAGGTCTATGGATAGCTTACGAACAAAAGTTAGTCACAATAACAGACAAGGGTGCAATTCCAAAAGTAACTTTTTGAATGGTACAACGTGAAGGGTTTTTTTTCTATCACCGCTGAATACCACTAATTTTATACATAAATAACGCATCTCCTCAGAGTAAGCTGCTAAAACCCAACTATCTTTCAACAAATCAGATTTGAAATATACTGGGATTTAAATTAGAGGTCAGTAATATACTTACAGAATATATATTGCCAAATTTATGTGAATATCCCTATATAGCAAAGTATTTGCACATGCTGCTGCACAGAGCACTGTGAATTATTGAGTTTAAAGTCCAAGCATCAAATGATGTAGGCTGAAAACTCAAACATAAGACCTTGGGGAAGGCCTTTAAGCTTAAATTATTCTACAATTATGAATGGAAGTGCCTTTACACAAGCTTAATAATGATGTAAAATCCCCCACCATACATTTAGTTCAGAATTAAATAAAAAAAAACACATCTTCTATTCCAGTTTTTTACTGAAATATGAAGATATTTTATATTATTCAAACAAATATATAAGCCTGCCAAATGTAAGTATTCCTTTGTATTTATATTAGGAGGATCAGAGATAGAGTGAAGAGCTCCAATTTGGAAGATTGCAAGTTCAAATCCTGGTCAGGGGCTGACTCAGCCTATCATCCTTCTGGGGTCGATAAAAGTAGAACCAATTTCTGGAGAAGTCAAACAGTGGTTGTCCTATGAATTATCTCGCCACCACCATAGATACACGGAAGTTCCAGCACTGGCTCAGGGCTATGTACAGGATATGGGAGCTCAATTGAACAAGGTAACACTGACAATTCCTTATTGAAATTTTCTTCAAAATTACATTTGCTATATCAATTGTAATGTTCAAGTTACCCATGGGCAACACAACAAACCAGCATAACACATCTTAATACCAATAATTATTACAGAATATTTTTTTAAATATTGGTTTCTAGAGTTTGGATTTATTGGCCTCTTGTCCCACGCAGGAATCGTTTTAAATACAGTAGATCGAGCGCATCGCTTATACCAAGCAAGCAGCACAAGTAGCAAAGCATCTGCAGAATATTAATGACCGATGTCAAAACGGGATAATTGTACATAAAAAGTATAAACATTAAATCATGCACAAATGCTCAAGGGACCAAGATAAGTGATTTCCATTGAATACAACCTAAAGAAAAACTGAGGCACAATGTGAGTTACAAAGGGTCTTCTAGTTCAGTGTCCATTCTGTGAACCACAACAACCCCGCATGAATAAAAATATGGAAGGGGAATGTGGCAAAAATGTAATCAGTTAAAAGCTAAGGCCTCAATGTTTAAATGGACACGGGACAGTGGTTGTCTGCTTTTGCAGTCTTAAAACACATTCCTGCGGAGGGGGCTGGTAGGAACGTTGGTTGCTCGGTCAGTGGCCAGGGTCAACGGCGGCGTGGTGTATTAAGCAAATATGCCCGACTGTGAGGGCGGGCACAAGCCGGCGTGAGTAGGTTAAACGTTGAGTTTTATAAGGGCACGACGGGGTGACCAGCCCCTCCCCACCCAGCCCCACCCCACCCAGCCCCACCCAGCCCCACCCCTCCCACCCCCCACCCAGCCCCACCCTCCCCACCCAACCACTCCCCCTCCCCACCCAGCCCCTCCCTACCCTCCCCTCTCCACCCAGTCCCACCCCTCCCATTTTTTATATCCGAATGTCCGGATACACGTGGACAGACATCCACAGACATACACAATTAATCCCCTGCCTCCTGTGAGAATTAATCCCGGTTGGGCTTCCAGTCCACTACGTTTCCTACCAGTACCAGAATAAATTCCACCTTACCATTGCTGGCACCAGCATATCCACACTTGACTTTCCATTAAGAAGCGCTCATTATAAAGACGCCAAAGGGATAGTAAAGGGCGAATTGTAGATATTGTGGGTTTACTCTCCAACACACCGGTGTGCTGAATGTGTAATGAATTGGCATGTTTGTTTACGTGACAAACCTTACTAATTGGCTGTATCGGGTGGTGGCGGGTTTAACGACATTTATATTTTCGCAATCAAACACAAAAAAACCTATATTATGTATGGTATTGGTCGCGAAAGTCTACGTGTTAAACTAGAGAAATGTGAGAATACGTTTTTCCCCTTTTATCTGGCAAGAAAACAGGTGTTAAGTTTTGTATATGTGGATAGCCTCATGAACGAATCTCTCATGGTAGCCAGATGGCTTGCAGAGAACCTGTCTTGGAGAAGTCAATGTCATGTGAGCCTACTTAATTATAACAGTGATCTGCCATGGCCGTGGTGTTGGTCCTACCGTGATTTAGGTCTGCTTTGTGTTCACGGATGCGGTCCGAGACATGTCGTTTGGTTTCTCCCATGTAACTACTACCACAGAGGCAACTTAGTTTGTAGACGCCAGGGTACTGTATGTCTGGAACCACATCTTTTACAGACGGAACCAGATCACAGATTTTATGTAATGTGTTGAATCGGACCTGGATCTTGTGTTTATTCAAGATTTTGGAGATCTTTTTTGTGATCCCCGCAATGTAGGGTAAAGTGATGGTTTGAATGGCTCCTCAAGAGGGTCCTTCTTCATGGTTGCAGAGGTTCTCTGCCAGCCATTTGGCTACCATGAGAGATTCGTTCATGAGGCTATCCACATATACAAACACAGACAATTTCAACCAAGAAGATGGATTCTGGCTTAGCAATCATTGGAAGGATTTGATAAACCATTTCGGGTATTAATTGATTGTTCACGATTACGGTGGCTTTCAGACCGCATCCATTATTTTTCGTCTCCCCCCTTCTCTTTTCCGAACATAGATGGACTCGTCCATCTGAATAACTGCCAAATCGCTCTCCGTGGTGCTAACGTTAAAAAAAACGCCACTTTTTTCAAATTTTTCTTGCTGTGGTTTTCACACCTGATGACGATTGCTTGTGTTGCAGTCGAAACGTCGTGAGAATTTAAATGTTTTATATTTTTATTATTTTATTGTTTCCCTTCTACGTGACTTTACCGAAAGAACCAAGAATATTAGGTGTTAGGTTGTTAAAACACCAAACTAAAACCTTTTACAAGGAATCATGTCTGCATTAACCACAATACTTGTGGTCAAAATGCAAACCAAAAACACTGATAATATATGCATTGTCTTTGAAACTGATTGGTCCACACCAATCTCTGTTGCACTGTGTAATGTATGAAGGGGTCGAACAGCGCTGCTCGTGCGGCAGATAGCCTGCTCCGCGCCCAGATCCCCACCAGCTACAGCCACACCACCTAAATCGATTGCCCCATTATATTCTCTAATTCTTACCATCCGTCCCCACCATCTGCCACCCTCTAAACGTCCCCCCGTCTTCCCGACGTGTGATTCTTTCTAACCTCATCCTCACCCATCCACACTCTAAAAAGCCCTGGAATTCCCGTTCAGTCTGTAACAAGCCCACTTCCACCCGAGACGCCTTATTCTTATAAAACCTTCAAGTTCTAGTAATTACAGAAAACTGGATATCCACACTGCTGCCCCAGCTGCACCTTCCACATCCTGCACCAACTTCATCCATTCCCCACGACCATCTGGCAAGCCTGGTGGCGGCGTTGTGTTTCTATTCTCAACCTGGATCCCATCGCCTCCAACTGTTGCTCTTCCTTCATTTCCCTATTTCGAATTTTAACTATCGTCTTTCTTTTTCCCCTTTGCAATCTAATTTCGAATTCTTTACTGCCGCCCTAGTCAGCCCTTCTCCTTCTTCGATAACTTGGATTGACTTCTCTCCACTATCCTTCCCATCTCATCTCTGTTGATTCTTCTGGGTGACTATGTCCTCGACTTAAATATCTCTGACTAGCTCTTTCAACCTACACCTGGTCTCCTCTCCTCCGACCCACTCCTCTTGTAGCACGCTTGACCTTATCTTTACTTCCGCTTGCTCAGCTTCCCATTCCCTATTTGACCCATGTCCTCCGTTCGATCACCTATTACTGACCATGACACGCTCAATTCCATGCCCCTCACCATCCAGCCCTTCATCTGCCCTCACACGCCTCCGCCAAAATCTACGCTCCATTGATCACTCTGCACTTAATTCCCTGGTTTCCACTAACCTAGCGCCCCTATCTGATTTCTCCTTCCTCCACCCAGAAAAAGTATCATCCATCCTACATTCTGCACTATCCTACTCATTAGACATTCTTACCCTCCTAATCATCCTCCTAGGCCTTGGCGAACACCTGGGCTAAAGATTTAACGTCGCCTCGCACGCAAAGCCAAGCTAACCCATAAGACCCTACCCACTACTGATTCCCACTCGGCTTACATTTCTGTGCTTTCCATTTTAAATTCTGCACAGGAGGCCGCTCACCAATCCTATTTTATATCCCTCATTTCTTCAATTTCTGCACACGCTGCTCTGCTATTTTCTACCTTAAACACTCCACGACATCCTTTGTCATCCTCAA